GCCCCAAAACGTCGCGACGAATCGAAAGGGGTACCCAGTGAAACTCAACTCCTCGTAGCCGAGGCACCACGGGGGCAAGTGTGAAGAGTCAACTGTATTGTTTCACACGACTCGTTACTTAGCTCCCCTTCGAATTAAAACCCGGGGANGGGGGGGGGGGGGGGGGGGGGGGGGGGGGGGGGGGGGGGGGGGGGGGGGGGGGGGGGGGGGGGGGGGCTATGAAAGAGCCAGGGAATTGTCTGATGGAATGATTTCGTACAATTAACGGATGTCCGCTTTGCTGGCTGCCCGCTTGCAGGGATTCAGGTACGGCTCGGAGCCTGTGCGCCTGCGCCAACACAAAAACCGCGCGCGGCCGCCAATCAACGACAATGTGCATTCGCGCTTTGTCACGGCTCGCGGATTGCCCTTCCGCTGCATAGGAAGAACGCCGTATGAACCTTCATGCGTTGCCAAATTTCCTTCGATAAAACACGAATTTCCTGCTGAACTTATGAATATTTTTCCTCTAATTTTGCAGATAATTTTGCTCGCAATTTCAATCAAAGCTCCTGATACTTTCAGGGGAAAATATTCATAACTTCCCTTAATAATTAACATTTTATTGAAGGAAATTTGGCAACTCTCGAAAGCTCATACGGCGTTCTTCCTTAGCGCGGCAGCATACTAAGCCGACGATGATATTGAGTGAAGGGATAGGAACAGTGGCGTGGCGTGTTTTGCGATATATCGATTGATTTTCCATTTAAGCCTATGGGAAAGGATCGATAGACAGGGTGTTCGCAGCGAACTCCTAAATAATCGATTCTTTGCCATAGCTTCAAATGAGGAAATATCGATAATTGATCATGCACGCCACGCCACTGATAGGAAAGCACTCGACTCATTGTCGGTTCATCGAGCATTGGAGACTAACAGAGGGACCTTCCCACAGCTGGAAAACTTGATTGGTATCAAACAGACGGTGAGACGGGACATATCTACGATGATAGTAGGCAGTAGAGACGTCGAATTTCAGTCCAAATCGAAGTAACTTGATAGGGAAATAGTAAGTATGCAGGGTGTCAAGCAATTTTCAAAAAAAAAAAAAAAAAAAAAAAATTCCGTGATATTTCCCTGATTTCTTCCCTGACAACATCGGCCAAAAAACTGGGAGAAAATTCAAAATTCCCTGAAAGACGGAAATAATAATTCTCCGAGAGACGGAAAAATGATTCCCTGACATTTCCCAGGCAAAATGGAAAAGTATTTGTAATTTTTCGACACAGTTGAACTGATTAGATGTATAAGTAAGAATTTTTACATGTCTCAGGAATGTAATGAAAAAATAGAGTGAAATATACGGTTCCTATAAACTTATGAAAGATATTTTTGCCTCATTTTTTAAAAGTGAAGAGGTATCAACAGAAATTCTGGTAAAAATTTTGGCAGAAATCTCCGCTAGAGTAAAAAACTTGCGAGACATTTGCCGGAAAATCTGTGTTTATCGATTTCCCTGACGTTTCCTGACTCGAAAATCGCTTGGAAAATAAAATTCCCCTGACATGCCGAATTTTTGTGAATTCCCTGACGTTTTCCCTTTCCCTGACAACTCCCGATTTTCCAGGTCGCTAGACACCCTGGATGGACATGACATTGACCCCCCCCCCCTCCCCCCTTACTTTCCAGGATGCCTAAGGACCCAAAATTGACGGAGCTTTTGCGGATTGAATCCTCTAAAAAATTCGAAGAAAATATTCAAAAGTTATTCTGAAAATTGTTATTTTATCAAAGCAACTTTGGCGACACCCAATGCTGCCGTGCTAAGGAAGAACGCCGTATGAGCCTTCAGGCGTTGGCAAACTTCCTGTGACACATTACTAATTTCCAGGAAAGTTGGTGAGTGTTTTTCTTCCAATTTCTCAGATAATTTTGTTCAGAATATGGCGGACAGATGTTCTGAAAATTTCAAGGAAAAATGTACATAACTTTCCTCAAAAATAAACATTTCTTCAGAGGAGATTTGGCAACTCTCGAATGTTCATACGCGTTCTTCCTTAGCACGGCAGAAAGGCTCATACGGCGTTCTTATTCTTTAGCACGCGGAAGAACAATTAAATACGGGTAGAATGTGATCAGGGCCGGATTAAGAGGGTGGCCACATGGGCCGCGGCCCATGGCGGCGTAATTAGGGGGCGGCAAATTTTGCGATTTTTTTTAATGCAGGTATGAAAAAAATCGGATTCAGAAAAAAAAATTACCAACGAGAAAAGGCGACAAAATCTCTTTTTCGTGAGAGTATAGTAATTGTAAATTTTGTCGTCTTTCGGTGATACAAGAGACTGCACCTTTAATTAGTCAAGTTAAGAGAGAAACCGAACACACGATTTGTCCTGCAGAGAGGCATGATGACCACGAGGACTTGAGATGTAAAGGAGAAGCCCTCGGCGAGGCGGTCGGCATGTAACACATATTAGCGCCTACAAGACTGCACGAATACTTCACGCATTGCATCAAACACAGTGCGGTCGTTGCGGTCAGCGTGAAACGGATAGCGCCTACAAGAATGCATGAATACTTCACGCATTGCGTCAAACACAGGGCGGTCAACGCGGCGCGGCGGCGGACATTAAAATTATTAAACCACATTTTTGTTTTTTCTTTCATAATTTTTTTGCTCATTTCTCATAAATGGAAGGCCTTGTCCACACAGAGATAGGTTTACGGAACTTAACTTTCGCACAAAGTTCTGTAAAATTTTGCTGGTAGTGTTGATGGGGCTTTCGCAACAAATGTGTCCAACAAGAGTAAACGCGTCTTATGCACCCCTCTCCCTCCGGCACGTTCACTTGATGGTTTTTATTGATGTTTCAAAACGAATAAGAAGGGGGCGGCATGTAGGTAAATCCGGCCCTGAATGTGATTGATATGGGCCCGTGCGAGGATCCTCAGCAAGGAATGTGCGTTCACTTGTTGTGATGCAATTGTTTTACTTGTAAATTAATTAGTCATATATTTGATTTATTACACGTTTAATTCCTTTTCGACAGAGATAATTTTCCTTATCAACAACTTACTTTTCTAGATGTTGATACAATTTTTTCGGCAATTCGATCCATGAACATTGCGCAATGTTAAAATAGAGGTAATAAAAATAAACTGCTATTTTTTTTTCTTAAACACCATTTTCCTCATTTTTCTCGTTGGCTGTTGAACCTAGGGACAAGCAGCGCTCAAGTTCGCCAAATATTGGACTAAGCTAATTTTATTTGTATAGTTCCTGTCTGGTTGCGTAATGTCAACCACTGACCTGGATATAAGCCGTCAAATTCGTCCTTTTTTAGATGAAAGAACGTTACAACATTTCAACCCTGCAAAATTTTTACTCGCATATTGCACTTTCACCTAGAAAACTTGAAAACGCTGGTTTCCCCTCGGAACAATGAGATTAGCAAACTTTTGGACAGGTATTGCGAAATCACACTTTGGTAAAAAATCGAATTGTTAGAGTCAATCTGGCGACCTCGGAGTAAAGTCCCTGCATTTCAAAAGGCCTCGATAAACGAGAATTTATTGGATTGCTGAAAACTTGATTTTTTTTCTCTCTTTACTTAGGTATCATGTTATATCGTACCTTGTTGTTTATTCTGTTATCACTGCAGTCTCATTTCAATTCCAATTTCACCATGTAACGCCGTTTGCTGGTTTTTATTTTTAATTTAAATTCTTTTTTATATTTAATTTTAGCAGTTGATAATGGTGCCGTAAGGTACCGAAACGTCCTGCCTTTGCATTTTGTATTTTAGCCTTGTTTCCACATTTTCCTGTGTTTTCGATTGTCGTTTCCTTTTCGGGCTGATTTTACATTCTCTCTGTTTTCCACCGGTATCATGTTAGGGGTATCATGTCAGATTACTCCCCCCCCCCCTCCCCCTAACCTAAGGTTTGGGTGAAATGCCGTTCCTGAAAGGAAGGTACCCTCGTCTGAGAAACGACGGATTAATGTTTGACACTCATCGATGGCATGGAACTCGAGTGAAACCACCTCACGAGGGATGGCTTCAAGATTGGGAACTTGAAATTTTGCGATTAAAATTTGGTGAAAGGGAGATTTGGAACTCAAATAAAATTCACAGCCGAGAGGTTCGGGTATGGAGATGGAGACTATGGTTCCGAGCCACAGAAGAAAATTTGCTTTTTGCTTGCAAAACAATTTGAACGACGGAGCCTCAAGGATACAAGCTTTTCATTACACTAAAGTAAAGAAACTGCCCCTGTTGCAGGCTGATGGTTGAGGTTGATAGACAAAGCGATAGAAAAAGAAGAAATGTGGAGTATGGAGCGATTCTGTTGGTTGAAACAGGTGGTTCTTATTGACTAAGGGAGAGAATGATGGATTAACTAAAGGATCTCTCGTCGGTTGCCCTTAGTTAGTCTATTACCTGTACCTCCTTTGTCGATTGCAACCACCCTTTTCCACCAATGGGATCCTTCCATATCCTTTTTGTATTCTTTGTCAATCGCTTTGGCTACCAATTTCGACAATCAGCCCTCTGACCGCGGCGTCCACGGGAAAAAGGATCCTAGTCCGCGGTGATCCGCACGATATTTTCAGTTTTCATTTACACTAGACACCCTGCATCTAACAAAGATGATACGGGATAAAGAATCAAGGTTTCAGGAGTCAAGTAATCATTACACTGGAAAAAAAACACATTGGATCTAGAGCCCAGACTCTTAAAAACATTGACAAGGAAAAGTACTCTTGATTCAATCAGAATCTAGCTTAAATCAAGAACCAAGCCTCTTGATTTAAGCGGATTTCGTTTTGATTTAAGCAAAAATCCGATTGAATCAAGAGTTCTTTTTCTTGTCAATGTTTTCAAGAATCTGGACTCTAGATCCAATGTGTTTTTTTTTCCAGTGTATAAGACGAAGCACAGAAACCGAACTATTTTTACATCCCTTATAGCATAAGCATAGCGACAGTAACACTCGAAGAAGAAAAACTCTGAGTTTACCTGAACCGGGCATTCCGTTTGGTACTGGTCCATACTAAAATAATAGCAATCATTCGAGGGTACTAGGAGCACTAAGAAAACCGCACTATATACTTCAATGACACCAAGGATCATTGTATTAGCCGTGCGGACTTTCAGTTACAGACCACCGCGCTCGCTGGAGGCCCGTTCGTATCCGGGTGATCCGTGAACTTCACCCCTCGCTCCACCCTCATTCTGAAATTCGATAAAGCTCAAAAATCTCACATCTTGACTCGTCCAAACGCCCAGGGACGTCCCGGCGGCCAAAAACTACTGATCCGAGGCCTCAGCTTAAACGCAAATACGTGACTGGATACAGACTTCGGGATCGGAGAAGTGGTGCGCGGCAGGTGCTTAAACCGTGAAAACCCGGCGGAAAAACTTCTGAACGTCCTGAAAAATGTTCAGCATCAAGTGGTAGATGTAGACGGCTCTTTCCGGCGTGAGGTCTATGACCAGGTTGTCCCGGAGGATGTAATGACCTACGAGGTAGTACAGCCCCCACAAGGTAATCATAGAGGGCGAAACGCGGAAATGAGGGGTGTCGAAAATCCGGGGGAGGGGTTATTGGTGGAGCACTGAAAAATCAGATTGGTCCGGAGGCTCGGAAACTGAACGGGAGCTTCCAACGAGGCACTTGAAAAGGCGCTTAATGACTGATGGGATTTTAGAGCTGATAAACGGTGCAGCGAGCTAAGCGAGAATTAACTCCGGGCTCCCCGCAGGACGGACGATGGCTCGAAAAGAGACAAAAACAACGATGGGGACTAGACTCATTGTTGACGGCTTGGCGCGGTATTCAATGAGGGGGCCCGCCCCTGGCTGCTACGCAGCCCGGCCCTCAATGAGCGTTTTGTGCACTGGGAAAAAAAACACATTGGATCTAGAGTCCAGACTCTTGAAAACATTGACAAGAAAAAATACTCTTGATTCAATCGGATTTTTGCTCGAATCAAAATGAAATCCGCTTAAATTAAGAGGCTTGGTTCTTGATTTAAGCTAGATTCTGATTGACTCAAGAGTACTTTTTCTTGTCAATGTTTTCAAGAGTCTGGACTCTAGATCCAATGTGTTTTTTTTCCAGTGATGGGCGTTTTGTGGTGATAAAGAACTTGAGGTCATCATTCGAAAATCGCTGAACAGCGGGCTAGATTTTAATTTTTTCTCGAATTTCAAAATTCCCTGACTTTTCTCTGACCTATATGCATTTTGAACATATAATTCATTGACTTTTTGTCGGATTTATCTATGTTTGGTTTTTTTTTATTTTATTTTTTTTTTTTGAGCAAAATTTCCCATAAAAATTCGTTTCCGGAGAAATGTTAGGCAACACGTTTGGCAGTGTGTGTAAAACATGACCAAAAAAGTATAGTTCCATTATACGCGTGAAGTTACAATTTGACAATGATCAGAGGTGATATTTACCTAATTTTGCAATATTGCTTGGCAAGTGTACCAATGCCAGTTTCCGTACATTACTGTGCGGGCATTCTCGGCAACTTTTTAAAAAAAATTCCAACTGGATCACATACTGTTTTCTACGTTTCTGCCGAAAATAATGTGCAATGTTACTGCAATATTTCCAGGCAACATCATAAACAGGAAGAGGTCATAAGACAACAACAATGTTGTTCATTGCATTGCCGCGTGGGTGAGCCAAACTCAGAACGGAAAAGTACAGAGGAGTGAGCTTTGCGCCGGTTTGGCTTCGGATGAGAGTGGTGTCATTGACAGAGGTCAGGCACGAAGTGTGAGGATTGTCAACGATACAGTAACCTTTATTTTAACGCCGGTTTTACTCTTGAACTGGGATCAGGATCGCTGCATGCGCTGAAAGGTGCTCGCAGGCATCATTTCCGCGAGATCTAATGGTTCTTCGACTTGCATTACGCGCGTGTCCGTGCTACCTCCGCTTAAATAAGAATTGGTCGGATCAACTAATCAGCCTACACTGGAAAAAAAAGAATCTTAAATTTGCCGCCAAGAAGTATTTCTTCTTAAATCAAGAATTTTTCTGGTTAATATAAGCTACTTTCTTGCTTAACCCAAGCATTAATTCTCTTGTATCAAGGAAAAGTCAGCTTAAAGCAAGAAAAAAAAAATTCTTGACGGCAAATTCAAGAATCATCATGCTTGATCCAAGTTACTTTTTTTTCAGTGTACCTTCATTATACGCTGTTTTGCATTTATTTTCGTGTTAAAATCCCGTGTGTTTTCGTGTTAAACGGAAAACGAAGTAAATTTTAATCTGGAGGAAAATCACAGGAAGTTTCGAGGCGGCGTGTTGTATATTGGACTGCGTTTGGCAGAAAGGAACCAAGCCAAATCAGCTACTGTCAAATTTAACTGGGCAATTTAATTTTTTACGAGAGAACGTTTGTGCGGATTCCTTTGAAAATGTTGAGGAATTTGCTTCGGACTATGCAGAAAATTCACTGTTTGCACCAAAATCCGCACAACCGTTTTCATGTAAAAATTTAAATTGCCCAATGAAATTTGGCAATAGCTGATGTGGCTTGGTTCCTTTCTGCTTAACGCGGTCCTATTAGTCCTCCTTTTTTTTTAAAAAAAAAAAAAAAAAACAGCATAGCTACAGCATGAGAGGAACTAGCAGGCAACGTGAGATGTAGATAGGCTGGATTTGGTTAAGGGCATCAAATTAATTTATGATACGGGGGGAGGGGGGTATAAAGTTGAATTGAGGGGCTTGGAGGAGGCAAATAAGTGCAGTTTTTGAAAACATCGAAATATTAATGATTTCAAGAAAAACTAGTCTTAATGCACATTCTTCAAAAAAATCGCTCTCAAATTCCACTTTAAAAGCATCAAAAAGTCGCAGCTTGAACTTTTATTCCGCCATAGAGGTCCATGTTATTCCAAAAATTCAAAGACGTATTTTTCGAAATAGCAAAAACTGCCGTTATGCGCCTTGTCCTCCGAGAACCTCAATTGAAGGGTGTTCCTGAATATTTTGGAATTTTCATCCCCACAGTAATTTGGAAAAATTGTAAAAATGTGCCTTTTATGGGAAAAAATAATTTTGGACAAAGTCGCGTGTGTTTCATGACTCGCGGACAAAATTCTGTGCAACAGGCGACCCTTGAGAAAGTAAATCAACCTATCTCCCATGATTTACCCTCAAAGATGAGGTTATCTCACCTTTTCCGAAATCAGCTCAAAGGAACATTCTAGATACTAGAATACTAGAATAGATACTCTTTAGAGAGATTAATATTCTTCAGGCGTTCGGGCGTGGATAATCTGATCACGATTCATCGAGGTATAGTGGTAAGCTCCTGAAAATTGTAGTCCCTTGCTGTTCAGACTTCGGAGTGCCTTTCAAAAAAACTTTCTAGATTCCGGTACTATTTTTGTGAGCTATAGATTACAATACAAATGTTATTTTTTACCCATTTAATTTTTTGTCCGGCAAAACTGACGACAATTCAGTAGTCTATAAAGGCATACATACTTTCATGCTATTCGTTTGAAAAATTGTAACAAGCCAGGAAACTGACGATACAAAACATGGACGAGTATTGATAGAAAAAAAAATCATGTAATTCATAAGAGGAATTTTTTCGAAAAATTTCACTCAGACTATGTGACTTATGTGAGTAAAAATGTTTGCAGGTTCCTGGTCAGAGATTTGGAGGACTCCTGGCCGTAAATATTATTTTAGATTTTTTTTTTTTTTTTTTTTTTTTTTTTTTTTTTTTTTTTTTTTTTTATAGAGAAATGAATGAGAAGATAAACTAGTGAAAAAGTTCAATGCTCGTATAATTAGACTCACAGAAGGAAAAGGTCATGAAAGCACGTCCAAATAACGTATCTTTAAACAGCCCCTTTAATAAAACCAGGCGATATTTCACGCCCTCTACATCAATTATTCTTTGCACAAGTGATGGACAACTAGACTTTTCAGAACTTGAGCGCTACACTGCATGTTTTCTCATAAAAATTTCACATGATCTGCGTATATGAGGTAAAAAATCCCCAAGAGTTTCACTTTTTTTGCCCGCCGATTCAGACGTCTCGCTTTCAAAAAACGCCACCAGTTACCGCGTAGGTAGGTACTTACGTCATTACAGCAAGTGCTTGCCGAGTGATTCTCAGTGTATACTGAATTTTGCTTAAAAGATTTACTACCGAGGGAAATGTTACGTTTCAAACGCGTGGAGAAAATTTTTAAAAAAGCACAGTAAAGGAACGTTTTGAACACACATTTTCACTCTCTTAGATGAATTATTTGACTTGGGTCGATAAGTTTCTTTCCGCGAGCGGTAAACTTGTTTGAATTGGCTGATTATAGGTAAGTTAATTACAAGCTCTTTTTTTCTCGTTCGTTAATAGACTCAGAATATCGTCACCTCGCAAGTGTCATGCGATGTTTCAAAATTTCCGCCGCAATTTTATTTTTTTACAGAGAAATTGTTCAACGAAACTGTCCGAAAATTTCACAAAATTTTTTTTATGCTGCCGATAAAATTCAGTGAAATTTTCAAACAGATTCAACCAACAATTTCTCTGTGAAAAAATAAAATGGCGGTAGAAATTTTTAAACGTCGCACAGCGCTTGTGATACTTTGGCTGGAAGGTGACGAATTATGGTGACCGCAGACAAGAAAACGGATTCCGACCCCTGAGGACAACACCAGAAGAGCGATTTTTGTGAGAGTTGGGCCCACCTAAAGAGAAAAAAGAATAGTTTCTCTCATAATGTACACAGTGCATCCCAGATGTCACCTACTATTTTAGTTTTAGTTACAATGCTACTTTATAGGTACCTAACAACACTGTCGGTTTCGGTAATTGGACCGCGTTTAGCAGAAAGAAACCAAACCACATCAGCTATTACCCAAATTGAACTGAGCAATTTCATGTTTTACAAGAGAACGTTGGTGTGGATTGTATGTGGAATTTTTAAGGAACTTGCTTCGTTTTTACGGCGAAAATTCACCAAAATTTTCAGAGATAAATCCGCACAATCGTTTTCATGTAAAAAATTGAATTTCCCCGTCAACTTTCACAACAGCTGATGTGGCTTGGTTCTGCTTAACGCGGTCCGTCATATTTTACAAGAGAACGTTGGTGTGGATTTTTTATGGAATTTTCAAGAAACTTGCTTCGTTTTTATGGCGAAAATTCACCAAAATCCGCAGAAATAAATCCGCACAATCGTTTTCATGTAAAAAATTGAATTTCCCCGTCAACTTTCACAACAGCTGATGTGGCTTGGTTCTGCTTAGCGCGGTCTAATTTTCAGGGACCAAGATCTCTTTCCTCGCGGACGGTAAACCCCTAAACCTCTGGACCTGGTGGACCAAAACCCCTTCTACGTGAAATTTCAGAGAGAAAACATGCACCACAGTACTCAAAGTCCTACCTCAAGCAGCGATCCACCGCAATCGACACCAAGAGCCAAAGTGAGATGTCAGCTTCATCTTGAGGCTAACGAGTATCTCGTCCAGTGTCAATGTCTCGAGTGGAAACGGGACTGTTTCGCGCGGCCGGCAGGGTCGTCGCGGGCGTCTGGGATGCCTCCGCAGGGTCAATATCAAGCTCGCGAGTGGTCGACCCCCAAGAGGTTTTCCCTGATCCGAGCATTACACATTGCATGTTTGTCGCGCCGAGATTTATTATTGTAATTACCGGATGAGTTTCTTCTCCTATAAAAGCCGATCGGCGACCGAGAGAGGCATCAGTTCCGATCGCTTCATCTTACGATTGTTAGTGACTTGTGAAGTGAAGCTCCTCCGCCATCATGCAGGTTTTGACTCTGGTTGTCCTGGTCGGCTGTGCCGCCACCGCCGTCCTCTCGGCCGATACCTACACGACCCAGTTCGACAACATCGACTTGGAGGCCATCCTCAAGAACGAGAAGCTCGTCGACAACTACACCAAGTGCCTCATGGACGAGGGACCCTGCACCAACGAGGGACGTACCCTCAAAAGTGAGTACGAAATCTTGAGGGCTCCGGCTCGAGGGACCAATGAGTCTTTCATAAATTGTCGTTTTCAGACAAAAAAAACTTAACGAGGTTGCTACCGAATCTATAAATGAAAGTCCCTGACAATTCCCTGAGACATATTGGTGAAATTCCCTGACAATTGAGGATATGCCAGATGCTGAAGACATGATTTGAGGGGCTTGGAGGACTAGGCGCATAAGTGCAGTTTTTGAAAAAGTTGAGATATTAACGATTTCAAGTAAAACTAGTCTAGCATATTCTGTGAAAAATTCGATCTCAAATTCCAATTTTTATGGATCAAAAAGTCAGTTTGAACTTTCTTTCCGCCTTAGGGGTCCGTGTAATTTTGAAACTTCAAATACGTATTTCTCGAAATATAGCGAAAACTGCACTTATTTGCCTTGTCCTCCAAGCCCCTCATTTGAAATAGTTTCCAGGAAAAATTAGTTGTGTTGTTAAAAACGTCAAACCCATTCTAGAAAGCAAATGAAGGTGCTTACCAATTTTTCCCTGACGTCTTCGTCATTTTCCCTGACATTTGTACTTATAGATTTTCCCTGACTTTTTAAAATTCCCTGACATTTCCCGGTTTTCTCAGTATTCCCTGACTGTGGCGACCCTGAACGTATGTACTTTTCAGTATTGAAAATTCCCGCGAAAAAATCTATTTTTACCGGAAAATTGTTGGGTGTTTTCGAGAGTTCAACAGTTTTAAGCGCCTAAACTCTTCTATCTGCGACGTGACGCTCCTGAGAGTCCAACAGTTTTACCAAGTTTTTTTTTTCTAGTTGCACGCAAAAATCAATAAAATATGCACTTTGGAACTCAACATTTTCTCAGAGAAGAGTTAAGGTGACGAGAAGATGAAGATGTGAGAAAAGTACTTTCTCACACGAAGAAAAAAATAATCCTGAGAAAAAGAATCGAATGGTAAAAGGAAGTTTTCATAATTGAGTCAGAGACCATTCAACTCTCCTCGTTTCTTCTCTCTCTATCTTGATCTTTCAAAACGAAGAGCCTTCAGTTTTCAAATATCAGTGCAGTTTTCCATAATTTTATGAGGAATAAAAACTTGAAACTAAAATATTGGTATGCTACTTTTCTATATAATAAATTAAATTAAATCTATAAAATATCTACCTACAAAATAAATCGAGTACCTACAGGAAGAAACAGCACGGCGAAGGTTCTGAACCAGTAGCAATTGACTTCTAACATCTTTTAAGTTGGTGATTGTAGTGCCGTTGGCTATATCTAATTTCACCGTATTGGATGGAAACAATTTCTTGTAAAATTACTAAGGGCACACAATTAAAATAAATAATAATGCTTTCCTTAGTTCGTAAAAAAACGCTGCTAAAATTGCACTAAAATTATCGAGAGAGTTGGTAATTTTACCTCCTTTATATTTGTAGTGAATTTTTGTGAAAGAAAAATTTCGGGATGTTAACAGAATTATTGGTTTTTTTTTTTCCAGAATTGCTTCCCGACGCTTTGAAAACCGCTTGCGCCAAGTGCACTGAGAAGCAAAAGACCGGTGCCCGTAAGGTCATCAAGTTCTACCAGACCCAGCACCCCGAAGACTTCAAGAAACTCCAGCAGAAATACGACCCCGAAGGCAAATTCAAGGCCGAATTCGAAAAGGCCCTCTTCGGACAAACCCTGTAAACTGATCCCAACCTTCCAAACGCCCTATGACCAGAACAAATCCTCCGTTTTCGAACATCCTCCCATCCTCTATTTATTGTGACAATACTGTCAACCTCAACTAAATGAACCAAAGAACAAAATGAATACCTAAATTAAAAATTGAAAATAAAGTTTATTTATTTCAACAGTATCCTTTTGTCTCTTTTTTGAAACGCATGCAACACTGAAAAAACACTGGAAGCTTTTCCATTGTTATCCGAAATTAGGGTGGGATTTACGTTGATGAAACGAGAAACAAAGAAAAATTATTAGAATAATTAAAAAATCCCGGATAAACAGTCCGACCATCACCATTATTCGATGCTAGGAGCAATTTTTCCTTGCTCATTTAAATATTTTCTAGAAAAACTTTACGCCAGAGGGTTATAAAATTAAAACTGCAGTAAACTTTTGGAACACCGCAATTAAATCATTTTTTTCCCGCAATTAAATAATTCTATTCTGGTTTCATCATCGATAAACTAGCCGTGGGATAGACTTGTAGTTATTTAATTATCCGCAAATGGATTAAATTTTATAAATCGTTGGGTAGAGTAAAAAAATGCATACCTTGAATGCGGCGTTGCTAATCTCCGCTTATGTTTTATTTTTTTAAAAGAAAATTTACCAACTGTGTTCCTTGAACTTTCCTGTGATTTTCTTCACTCATTCAAAAATACTTATCAACGGAAAATTTCAATTGAAGAATATTTTTTTACCTCCTTTAAAAAAAATTAAAAACCAGCCGGAGATTTCCGTAAAAATTCAATGGTGATACACATTTTTCGACTATAGCCATCGATAATCTGAATGAGATTTTAGGATTTGGTTCGACTAAATGAGGTAAAAAATTGTGCGGTCAAATCAAGACTATTTCGCTCGTCAGAAGTTAATACACACGCAATGAAAATGCCGAAATCATAACACGAAACAGAATAGGTACTTTCATCCGCGATAAAACCATGTTAGATACTGGTCAAATCGGTTTTTGGAAAAAACTAATTGTGGGGTAAATGACTGAGGTAAGGCTCCACAAAGACTTTCCCGGACTTGCAGCCTCCTCTAGTCCTCTATTGTACAGTGCTTACAAACTTGTGAGGAAAAATTCAGGAAGCGACGAAGATGATTATAAGTTTCAAAGCATATTTAAATTCATTAATGTGAAGTTTGATTGAAATAGTTTTCGATTTTTTGGCGAGCGAGAAGCGTAAACATGAGTACATTACTTTCTCACTCATCTTTTTCTTTTCGAATTGGGAGACAAAGTTTCCCTCGTGTTATTCTGCATGGAATTTGATGTGACGTGCATACATTGTAATTGGACCGCGTTAAACAGAAAAGAACCAAGCCACATCAGCTATTGCCAAATTTAATCGAGCAATTTAATTTTTTACATGAAAACGGTTGTGCGGATTTTTGTGCAAATTTCAGTGAAAATTCTCCATAGTTTGAAGCAAAGTCCCTAAAAATTTTAAAGGAATCCGCGCAAAAAATCTCACGTAAAAAATGTAATTGCCCAGTTACATTTGGCAATATCTGATATGGATTGGTTCCTTTCTGTTAAACTTGGTCCAATTGTGACCCTCTTGAAATGACTTGCTGAGCGACTCTTGTAATTAACCTCAACATCCTTACGTTAACTACAAAAGAGCCGAAAAACGTCGCTTGAAATCGAAATTTATGAAGTAAGAACCAGAGGAGCTTGACTTAATCGCAATGCTGCAAAGTTTCAACTTATTCCTTTGTTCATAGCAGGTGCATATTTGTTCACTCAAAATAACAGAGAATGGAGATGTTGCATGTGTGAGGAATTTGCGATTTGACTGTTGATTCTTACGCAAAAGTTCGCGAGAAACACGATGGTCGATGGTGCCACTGGTTTTCTCTGAAATCATCTCTCAAGCCCCAAAAAAGCTCTCAAGTTGAGGCCAAAATGGAGGGGATATCCCAAGCTATCCTGAGAGTCCACCTCTACATCAAGACAAACTCTCCATGCAAAGAAAGGGAGCAAATACATTGGCAGTGATGCCGCGTTTTCAGTTTTAGAGTCCTCAAATAAAGTGGCAGCCCTGTTAATGCATTTGCTCCATATCTTTGCATGGAGAGTTTGTTTTGATGTAGAGGTGGACTCTAGCGTGGGTTATCCCCTCCATTTTGGCCTCAACTTGAGAGCTTTTTTGGGGCTTGAGAGCTGATTTCAGAGAAAACCAGTGGCACCATCGTGTTTCTCGCGAACTTTTTCAAAAGAATCAACAGTCAAATCGCAAATTCCTCACACATGCAACATCTCCATTTTCGTCGAAACATTACGCCTACTGAGCGGTAACCCTGATGTAAAAGAGATGTTGCATTCATTTTTCAGTGAAAGAGTAAAATGTTCAGTGAGATACTGCAAGTTGCTGTGTAATTATGCCCAATCCTCGCCCTTTCGATTGTTACCTATACATTTGTGACATTAACCAGTTTTCTATTGCAACGTTAAAAAAAAGAAAAAAGTACGATAGACAATAGATGAGAAAAATAATTACAGTTTTAGGGCAGTTCAAAGATTCTTGATCACGAGGTACCGTATCCGAGTCGTTGATCTCAATGTCCCCTCGAAGGACCTTACCGTTGACTCCCGAATCACACCGCGCGTGGTAAAACAACACTATACAATGAACGCAAAATAACAAAGTCTGCAAAAAGTACTCCAACATATTTTTGTAAAAACACGCGCTCTTCCTTTGCTGTCGCAAAGATGAGTGACGAATGTAGGTAAGGAAAGCGCGGTCAAAATATCATTTGGGGAGAGAGGTTGGGTTAATGGAGATGAACTTCTGAACTTTTAGGCTTTTTAATCAACGACATCAAGTTCGGAGTTAAACTGTATACGCCCATTAACTTTATAATGTCCTTTCATTGTCAGACTCTATTGCGTTGTTTACACATTTGATTATTTTTAATGTAGCTCACACCCATGTCGTTTTGTTACCAATCGCTGACGCAAAATTTCGGCGGCCTGATTTGTGAGACTGATAACTTATTCGATTTACTTGAACAAACTGGATTTTTGAAGGGGCCGTAGTGAGACCCCATCATAAAAAACTAAAAGACAACCGCGCACCAGTCTTTGCGATGCGAGAATAATCGGAATCATTAAGCTAATATTATTGATTTTGGGTTACATGAGAATGTTTTTTTCTTATACAAAAATCGACCTGAGCTACCATTATTATTATCAACAAACAGAAAATGTCACATATAAATCGACTATTTCTTGACCTATTGCAGACATTAGGAGAAAAGGCGGTTACACTGCACATCTGGTCACAGATTGCGCGACAACGTACCGAAACAGTTCCTAGTATTGAATACTGCAAAACAATATAATATTGACATTTTTTCTAACTCTTTAGCGAAAAATAATTGTACCAATATGTTTAGATGCGAACTCGATTTTTTCCTGAACAATTACCATAAAATGACTTTGCCACGTTTGCCGTTCTTAGATCAGAGAAAATAAAGGGTCGTGGCCCACATTTTTGGACGGCAACGTTGTTGTATCTTTCAATCGAAGTATTATTCGGAAAATTGACGATGTCACGATTAAAATTAGTAATCATTTACTTTATCGGCACTATATGCTGGTATTATGTTATGTCGTATAAGAGAAACATGCAAAGCGCCCTTAGTTAGTGTCGAATGCGACGAACACTATACTGGGCTTTCATTTCAACTCCTAGATGCAACTATTCGGGCTCCATGGATGTCCGTGTTGCATACGCACGGAAATGAAGGCATTTTGGCTGTCCAGGTCGCCTGATACCTCTTAACCCGTGGGGTTAAGAGGTATCAGGACATCGGGCTTGATGATCAAAAATGGCAATTCTTCGTTTATACAAAAAGGATGTCTTCGAGGACGAATAGTTGCAAACAGGCGTAGGATGTGCGTATATTTTGCGCTTCAGTTTGGATGTTGTGATGTGTTGAGTATGACTTGTAGAGCGTCAATGCGTATCTACTTATCTAGGAGATGTTTCCGAAATATGGATATAATTTGAGATCCTCGCAGTAAAACCCGCCGCACAATAAAAAGAACCTTTCAGAGAATTTGAACATACATTTTTGACTAAAACTGCAAATTTTGACAATAATTACTTCACATTATAATTTATTAATTGTAAGGGGTTCTTTTTGAAGAAATTTTACTAGAAAATCAATAAAACTACTTCCAAATCCTCTACGCTCCTCATTGGCATCGATGTGGGCTTTTAACGTTTCCACATTTTGTCTGACTCCTCTCATTGACTTGCTCCACTGAGCGCCGATCGTGAGGCGGTTAGTGTCTGAGGTTAAAACGCCTTCTTTTCCGTGCGTATGCAACACGGACATCCATACAGCTCGAATAGTTGCATCCTGGAGTTATATTGAAATTCGTTTGGTATCGGTGCCACGCGACACTAACTGAAGATTTGTTTGTTTCTCATACACCTTAACTGATTCCAACGTCGTGTTGCAAATTGAGCGGATGAAGTACCTGAATCATAACTGATTTTCATCGCGACATTGTCAATTTTTCGAGAAATGCATTATATTACTGCGTTACATCCACAATGCTGCCGGCCCTCGAAATCACCCAAAAATTATGTATCTGAGCATGATACGTAGAGTTTCCTTTAACATACGTTACTTTCTCGAATGTAAAAGTATACTTTAAATTCCGTCTTTCTGAACATTACAACAGTATTCACGTCCTCACATTACTCTTTGCGAAGTCTCCGTTTTTCGCAAAGCATTCATTTCGATAAATATAAAAGCGAGACAAGTAGGTATTTCTAGCCTGAAACTTGTCAAGTTTTGGATAAAAATTAATTCCAAGCTTGCGAGTGACTGTTTTGCCGTTCAACAGCAAGGCAGAATGACGAGAGAATGGGAATGTCCCGGTCCCATCAAAAGAGGAGGAATCTAGTTATAATTTTTTTCGTTCCCAGAGAAAAGGGACCTTCTCGGAAAAGTCCCCGAACATTACCTGCTAAAATCTATTTTCTAGGCAACTTTTACGAAAAAAAAGACACACACACATGCAACCTTCACACGTAGCGATCTCTCACACTTCGAATAGCCACTGGGAATGTTCCCGGGAACTTTCCCGTTTCCATTCCTAGTGCCGGTAATCCAGGGTTGCGCAAAGGGTCTAAGAAAATAAATGAAGACTGCGCGAAAAAGGCACAAGGATTGCGCGAAAAAAGGCACAAGGATTGCGCGCAAAAGGCACAGGGATTGTGCAAGAAAGGCACAAGGATTGCGAGAATAAGTAGAAACCTTAACAACTGCTACAGGAATGCGCGATTTTTAAATAAAGTTAATTTAAGGTAGAAGTTTGGCAAAACAGGAAACAGTTGGAACATTAACGCATTTTTATGTTAACGCCAGTTTAGGTTAGTTTTTAGGCGAGTCATCGATGTCTTACCGTCAGATGATAAATAAAGTGAAAAGATTGAATAAAGGTCCTGGGTATAAAGAACTCTCCTAACTTTTCTCAGAAAAAATATATAATCGGGGGAAAAGAGGCAACGTTGGAATGCTCATACGGCGTCGAAACACAACATAGGCCTTTTCAGCTCTATCATTCGATGCCGCGATTATTCTACCGCGAGTTCGAACAATCGCGCCAAACATACGATGGTGTGGCCGGCGGCGCGGCGTTAAATGTATATTAGCCCCTGCAAGACTTATGGAATACTTCACGCATTGCGCCAAACAGTGCGGTCGGCGTACAGCCCATATTAGCGCCTACAAGACTGCATGAATACTTCTCGCATTGCGCCAAACGCAGTGCAGTCGGTCAGTTGGTGTGAAACGCATATTAGCGCCTTCAAGACTGTAGAAATGGTGTAGGACTGCGCGTCATCATTCTTGACTTTCTGCTCCAGTTTTTAGCATAGTGAAAGGGAAAATATGTATCCTCATTCTAACGATTCAGAAACTCGGACGATATTTAATTTTTTTTTTATGTTATTTCATTAAAAGAAATAGAATGAATGAAAATATTGCATCAAAATTTTCGATACTTTCATTTTAGATCATTAAGGTAAATTCGCGGAAACTTTTCAGAAAAACTGTGTGTAGATTTTTTAAAATATTTATTAAAAACAAAACATAAACGTTGCCAACGTGCATAACGTTGCAATCAGAGATAAATATACTTTCTTGCGGGTGCACCTGTCAAGTTTTGAATCCGTTCATCTCTTAAAAAACTAGAACATGGTTTTTCTACGATTTTTTATGTGTAGTTTTTTCAGTGGTTAGCAGCCGCGTGACAGCCACAGGCCTGGTTCACTTTTTAAATGACTATGAAAGCTCTCTGGGCCATTCGTGCTGAGAGGGCTATCCATTGAAGGGAGACATTCAGGAACAGGGGGACAGTAAGTAAGGAAAGAATGAACAGTCTTCCGCAATATAGTTATCTACCATAAACTACCAAGGTTGCCAGATTAACGCTTCCTCGTTGACTATTGAATATTCGCGCAAACATGTCAGTTTTCAGTACCAGAAAAATTTGCGCAATCCTATCGCTGCCCCTCCTTAGAGCTTGACTTTCCCAAGAAAATTAAATTCCTATACCGAGAACAGCCGCGGATCGGATGGTTGGACTAGAACAAGAGATTGGATTTATGATCACTCTGCTGTATCAAATCAAAATATGCGGACTAGTGCTTCCGTCAAACAGAAAAAGAAAATTCTGTAGGCAGTTATTTTCTGTCTAATACTACCTGTGCATGAACAGTCGCCACACTGGATTACCTGCACAAGTGTTTACGACCCGTTTTTTGTCATGCATCTTGTCAATCAGAGCATATTGCAAATAAAATAGTATTACTGACTACTGTGAAATAGGAGGATGGAATTTCTAACTTACCTATAAAAAAGTTCAATTTTCAAAAGTTCAATCAAGATTGGTATGTTGATTGTGACCACAACTTCCCCAACTGGTTGCTCTCCAGGGTAATCTCCACGAATACACATGATTTGGCAATTTTGAGCTCAGTATCACGGCTGACCTTCCGAGTGAAAAGAGTTTCCAAATCCCCGGGAGGATATCCGATTGTTAGATCACTGATCACTGATTTCTCTCAGCTGTCCATTCCTCACGGGTCTAAAATGATAACGCCAAAATTTGAAAAAAAAGGCAATAACATGAAACCAATGTGGTTCACTGTCACTTTGGGTACAAATTATGCACTAAAAATTGAGGATATACACAAGAAAACAATTAATTATTTGACTTTTGAAAGAATTAGCTACCCATTTCGACAGAATCACGTGCGATCCTCCTTATCAAAATGATGTAAACAAGAAACCACCGAACATGCATCAATCATCGGTGAGAGGTGACTGTCGGTAATTGAAGCAATTGTTTTGGAATTGTTCTCTAATCTGCGAAATGGAAATTTACAATTTTTTTTACTGCCTCAAATGATTTCCTAGTTTGTTTTTCCATAATTTCTTTCAGTTGCTGGCTTCCAGTTTCTCACATTTGAATAAATGTGCATAATCTCCTCTCATCACAATTGGAATGACTCGCCCATGTAACTCATGTAAGTTATTTTTCCAACCATGCCTGCATTCAAGTCTGAACTAACTCCTTCATATATATTCGTGATTTGAAATCAGCCTCGGTATCCTCCTTCAGAATGTCATGAAGATCGAGGGTATTCATCCAGCCATCACTAAATGAGTACAGGTTTTTCCTCTTGAGGAACCATCGGTGCATCTCTAACCTCCTCATTGACGGATTCTTCCTGTCTGTTACTTTGGCCTCGGCTCAATTATTTTTCTTCTTTGTGTTCCAATTTGGGCTCAAAAGATATCAAACTAGCGTCATTTAGCAAGTGTTAAATGTTTTGTTAGAGGCTGCAAAATCAGGGCTCCAAGTCGGACGAGACCAATTTACGTATTCTTGATCACCGTAGATTTCATCCAGGGATAATGACTGTTTCCCCAAGAAACCATGTCATGCAGGACATGACACTAATTGAACTTCAACATTTATACGGTTCAGAAATCTCTCCCAGTATGGTTTTTCAAGTGGCTAAAGTGCGGCTGCAGTAACTCGGGCTAATGTTATTCCATGTTGTGATTTAGTCGGCGTAAGAATGCTGCGAACGATGTCCCATCGTGTTGCTCTTCTAATGGATGCGGGGGTTGGTAAAACTTCCAAGGGCTCCTTCTAAAGAAATTTAGGTTCCTCCAAATGAAGTTTTCATAGAATTCTGCTTGACACCTAAAATTGCGTTGACGACGGTTTTGTTCCTTGAAAACAGCGCTCTTGAATGTTGTGTTCCGCCTACAACAGTGCTCTTGAATGTTGTGTTCTCCCAACAACAGCTCACCTAAATGTTTTGTTCCCTACCTTGTGAAAAAATTAAGAAAAACCTCCCCCTTTTCGCAGGCATCTCCTATTTTTCTCGTCCTCACATGGGTTATCCCATTTCACGGGACCGGCCAGTCCTGTGGTACAGAAGTGTCTGCACCCCTGATGGATGCCTTGCTAATTAGGAAGATTGATAGAAAGTATAAATTTTGCATGGTTTCCCAAATTTTCAGCCTTTCTTAACCTGAAGATTGGCAATAAATTCGTGAAACTACATCCCTAAATTTCCGCACCTGCTTCATCTTCTCTCAAAAAAATACTTACTGTGAATTCTACGTTCGAATATTTGAATGTTCAGGGAGCTATGCTAAAAAAAACTACGTAAATTGTTGAGAATTGATTATGATTGGTTCTCTTCCTTGAAAAATATCACATTGATATACATTTTTGTGAAAGGAATCATGTGTTTATCTCTTATCTTGCTTTTCTTATGTTCAAAAATTACTTTTCTAATATACAGTTTTACTAACTGGCGTTTTCTTCTCTTTTTTTTTCAGTGGTTATCTCCTACCTGTTACCACATTGTCATGGGTTTGAAAGCAGCTGTCCAAGCTCTTCAGTAAGTTGATTTCTTCCCAACACATTTAAAATATTTTTATAGCAAAGTCATTCATTTTAAGCCCACGTCAAATAAGTATATGTGTTTTTAGAGAAGGATGAACGATCAACTATCTTCAGTATACCATTGAAAGTGAATAAAAGAATCAAGATGCAGATTTTCTATCCTAATCCAAAAACTCATATCTTATTTTGTGCGGACTCTAGCCTTCGAGGAGGAAGAAAGGCCAAAAATACTATATTTCTAGAAGGGCAAACGTTGATAATGGATATTGCAGTAAACGCTGAAAAAACTAAGAAAATCCCTCACTTGGAAAAGTAAATACTTAAACAGATTGTTGCCTTTACACCATGGAGATCTTAAGTGGAAGTGAACTTGATTAATCATTGCATCCTTTTCCTGCATTTTGCTGGGTCTTTGGTGAGTTGGTTAAGTTAGGGACATCTTTATCAAAATAATCTGGTGAATGGAAAGGATTTTCCGAACAGAACAAAACTATGATCATTTCAAGATCAGATTAATCAGATTATTCACCCAAGTTTTTATTTTTGGGTGCATTTCAAGGCTTTAGTTATTGTCAATTACTCGCTGTCTTTTCTATCCATTAAAATAAAAAAGAAAGTTAAGTTTTCTGATGATGAATGAAATTTAATTTGTTTAAGTACAATGTTTTATTCGTGTATTTCTATCATTTGTCCCTCTTCTTTTTTCAGAAAAGCGGAAGTTTTAAAAGAAAAGCTGCATTATAGCCAAGATTTACTGAATGATAACGACGCTTGGGCTTGTCAGCAGCAGTTACAGGTAAATAAGAAGATTTTTTATCATGGAAATACCCCCTAGAAGAGAATTCTTGAAGAATGGATCATGGATCTTCATTTGGGATTGAGGTCAGAACAAATCTGGTCTTTACTTTCTGCGTTGCTCTTATGTGGGAAACCTGAATAAAACAATTTTTGACTCCTAAAAATAAAATTTGAAGGGAGAAGGATTTTTTCCTTTAAACTTCAAGTTTTAAAGCCCCCGGTACATTAAATTTTGGCGGCTAAATTAATTCTAACGTAGGTGAAGAAAAGTAAATTTTTATAGTGAATGTGGGGCCTGATAGAGACTACTTACTACCTATATGGGAGAAAATTCTTCAACATTTATGTCGAATAATCTTTGGCGTGAAGTAATTATTTATCAAATTTATGATAGAGCTGGATATATCAGACTCTTAACCAAACGTTTTTCTGAAGGAAATTAGCACTTTTGATGTATTTAAATGTGACTATAGCGTCAAGGTGATGGGAAGGGGGGGTGAAGTATTTAACCACATATAAATGTATGACATTCTTAGCCAGGCAAGAAATTCAGTGGGCAAATTTTTTATAACTATTTTTCACTTGCCCAAAACTTCCAATCTGATACAATCACTTTTTTACTCCTTTCTTCCTAAAGAACTGTTAAATTCACTTTTCCATCTTGTCCCATTAGGGCCTGTGTAAAAATTCACAATCATACACTCTCACGTGAATTCCATATCTTCAGGTATTCTCTTTTAGGATGCATTAATTATGGATTGATTCATTACTGTTTCCACCAAAGTGAGATATAGAGGCCTCAAAGGAATGCGGCAAAAATTTCAATTCATATCAAACGATAGATTCAAATGTATTCCCCATTAGTAGCAGGAGAGGCATTCCGTATTGTATATTTTAAGAATTCTCACCGCTGCGGCCCTACAAAAACGAAATTTTCTTTATCTTTGGTTTTTGAAGCAATGGAATTTTTCAAATCACTCCTTTATTTGTTGCAAATGGTTTTTTCGACTCTTTGATGTAGAAGAGTAAAGTGCACTGCTCATAGCGACCATCACAGCACAGTATGTGGAAGTTGTCTGAAGCAATGTAAAGAACGTTGCCACAGTGAGGGAATACTTAGTAATGTAAGGGATTTTTTAAAGGTCTGGGAAAACCTGGCAACATGAGGGGGTGTGACAAAAGTGTCAGGGAAAAATTATTAAGTCACCTTTATTTGATTTTTAGAATGGGTTTGATGTTTTGAACAACAAATTTTGCATGCAAAATTTTTAAAATTTTGTCCTCAACTTGTCAGGGGATTTCACCGAAACGTGTCAGGGATATTCATTTTCTTAACGCTGTGGCAAACTTGTGCAAAGGCCAGGAACATTCTGCATCATTGTTCTTTGATGACTCTTTATATTGGCAAATTTTAAGCAGTTAAGGGTTGCAGGAGACTCATCGGCTCGAAAGATGAAAATTTCCCTCATCAATTGGAATTAATTTTCTTTTTCCTGATTTTAGAAAATTTACCAACAAGTTCTAATCTTGGACTTGGAATATGCTCTGGACAAGAAAGTTGAACAGGACCTCTGGAACCATGGCTTCAAACATTACATTGCTGCTATCCAGCAGCAAACAAAAGACAAGAAAGTAAGTTCCATCTAAGATTGAGTCTAGTTTTCTTTTCAGAAAGCTTGATCAGTTGGAATCAGGATTCCTCAATTTTGAATGGTCTAGCCAATACTTCATCTGATTTCCTTCTTTGACAGGGAGAATCAAAACCATGAAGAGTTTGTCTGCATCCGTACATTTCGAGATGAAAAAATTCCTGTGAAAACAACCCCTCTAAATTAATTTAACTTGGTCACCTTGCTTCTGTAGGGCGTATTTGTCATAACAAGTGGTGCTATCTATCATAAAACGATCACAAAAAAGTTGTAATTGTCCTCAAGTTTAGGACAAGAGATCCACTTCACTTTAAGCCCAGTGCAGTAATGACACGGAAATGGGTCATTGCAAGGGAATGGGTCAAACTGAAATGACCAGAATGGATGTTTTTAAGAAATTTACCGAAAAGATCATTATTTTTTTGTCTTGCAACTTCATTCAACTGTTTTTCATAGGACTCTCTAAATGTATTTCTTTTATTTTACAGAATCCAAAACGTGCTGAATTTCAGGCGCTGCTGTCATGGTGTCTCGATACTGCTAGTGGATTTTACCTGATGCTGTTGCAAGAAATTTGCGCTGCATTTAATCTAGATTTACCATTCAGAAGGTAACCTTTATGAATATAAAGTATCCTTAAGTCTACAAGTGCTCGGGTGCCTTTTTTCAAATAATTCGTAACACTGTCTAACTGGTATGCCAACCAAAAATAGATGCTCTTTTTCCTAAATATTATGTCCTTTTAGACTAACAATACATAGGACTATAATCTAAAATTTAAAAATAGCGTTATATTGTGTTGCTTTCAGAATGACAACCAAAATTGTCACTATACCTCCGAAGAAATTTTACCATCTGTCTCTACTTTTTCAAAAAATGCTACAATAATCGATTATTAACATAATATTAAGGCTTCATGAATACTTTGAAGACCATAATCCTTTGAAGACCTTTGTTTAATCTGTGCACAAAACTGTAATTTGCCACAGCCTGACTGCGCAACACCACACCTCTCCCTAACGGCCAATACTCTAATGAAATTCAAGTATAAGACATTACCACATCTTCCATGGGGCCACAATGGTGCTTTTTGCAATTTCTTTTATTCATAAATTTAAAAGACACTTTGCAGCCAAAAACTTCTCCTCCAACGATAAAAATAGAAAGGCTGTTTTAAGAATAGAATGCGAAAACAGATTACTGATACCATGAAAAAGCTTTCCCAACATTTGAAGCGCTCAATTGCGTAAATAATGGCTATGTTGCAAAGTAATATATTATTCTAAAGATAATTATATCTTCTTTCAATTGCTGTTTATTTTTAAAAGCAAATCCACAACCATTCCTGAATTGCTAACAAGTGTGCATTACCTTTTGTTCAGCTCTTGTACATTGTCCAGACTTTCAGGATATGCACATCATACCTTGAAGTATTCATTTTTAAAAAACGAAGTTACTTTTTTAGTATGCTTTAAAGAACTCATGAAACCTGATTTAGAGCACTGTGGTTCCTGCTGAGCGCAGCACTGTATTTCTCTTGGAGGAAATGCCAGTAAAATTTCTAATCTTTCCCTCTCGCAGGGATTCCAATTGCTTCTATAGAACTTTTATTTTACATATTCTCTGTGTATAATTCAATTTCAGAAAGGGACTTTATGGAAGATTAAAGAAATTCGAACCAGCACCTTACATCTCGCAGCCCCAAAGGAATTCTTGTCATTACCTCTGCCAATACTGTCTGGTTCATTTGGGTGATCTGGCTCGTTATCGCAATGCTAGCCGACAAGCGGAAGCATTCTACAAGTAAATATTGCCTTCATTCTCTTTTTTAGTCATAACTTATACTTTGGGCTCTTTGTGCTTCAATTTTCTTCATTCTATCGCCCTTTTAACCCATTGGCGTATATGAACGAGCATTCCCATCAGTGCCACCCTGGAACAACTGGACGGAGTTAAACAGAAAGGAACCAAGCCACATCGGGATCGAACCGAGAAAAGGAGGTTTAAAGTTTGGCTCCTGCATAAGACTCAATGTAAACGATAAACTTCAAGTTCAATTTCTGCAAAATTTGCTCCAACAAAAACTTTGAATTTTTGGCGATAGATAGTAAAGCAGTGGTTGAGTTCAAAACCACTCATAATTCAATTTTTTCCAAAATGTGGGTTGGTTCCTTTCTGCTTAACTCAGTCCAACTGTGCATAGACGAATTAACTTAAGCCCTTGATAAGTATTTGTCTTAATAGTGTGTGTCCAATTACCCAATAGATAGCACCATGGATGTCCTTTTAAAGATCATGTAAGAGGATTCTGTCGCCATCCTGGTTGCTAGTACTGCTAGGCACATCAGGCAAAAAAATGCTAGTATGCGAATGGGTTAAATGGTTTCTGAACCTCAAATCAAACAATGTTTTTGTCCGTCAAAGCTTTCTAATAGTTGAAATTATGATCATAATTTTCTAATTTTTTGTAAATTTAGCAACTGAAATTCGTTAATTTGATACAAAAATTAATCTGGTAAAGCTGAAAACCAGAATGGGTGAGGATAGAATGGTGCCAAACTTTTTACGCTGTTTTTAAGTTTGAGAAAAAGTGGAGGTATGCCCTTTCTGCTAAGCACAATGGTTTAATCAGGCACATTCTTTTTAGTATTGGTGAAAGTCATAGGACATAATGAACATCTATAGGTTAAACTTTTTATTTTTTTCATTTTTACAGGCATGCTATTCAACTGAGTCCAAGTAGCGGCCAGCCCTACAATCAACTCGCTCTTTTGGAAACAAGCCGTGGCGATAAACTTTCCACTGTTTTTCATTATGTGCGAAGTGTTGCAGTTGCTCATCCATTTCCTGCTGCCATTTCAAATTTATCCTTGACCTTTGAAAAATGCCTTGAAACTACGTGAGTATAGTCAGCATTATAAATTCTCCTCCATGGTCGTGTAAAAGGAAAGTGATTTTAGTGTCCATCAATAAATTTTTATGAAGGGCAATTGTTGCCCAGTTAACTAGAAAAATCTGATTTTAATTTTTTGATTGGAATCCTTTGCAGTAAATTTTAGCCTTTTTCTTGTCTTCCTCATGATTTTTGTGTTGACATGTGAAAAGTTTACTTAGATAGCTGTATCTCATGTATGCAACAGATCCATTCTGGTGTCCCCTCTGCCATCATCTCTCTCTTTTTTCTCAAAATTTTTCCGAAGCAGCTCCCCACCTAACTTTTATAAAAAAAACTACTGCTTTTTTTGAGATTTTCTTTTTCATTGATGGTTTCTAAAAACAAAAATTTACCCATGGAAAACTTTTCCCGCTTGAATTGAGAGTCGACTTTTTGTCAGTTTTCTTAAAAAAATTTGATCTAAATGTTGTTAGGTGTCAAACATTTTAAGAATCTGTCATATAATGGAAACAGGATGATAGACTGCCCACAGACTGATTTCATTCGAGCAGGGCAATTTTTAAGAGCTGTTGCAATCATGCTAACTTCCACTCTCAGAAAAGAGACAAAATTATGCAATGAGAATTTAAAAATTTTCCTCTTTTTGCTTGTAATAGAAGATAATAGTATGAAAATGTTGTATGGTTCAGCTTTTTAAAAAACCTGTTAAATGTTTCAGGGTCACGACAGATGGGAAGAAACTATCCAGCAGTGAATACATTGCCCTATTTTTAAAACTTCATGCTTTGTTTCACCTTCCGGGAGATTTTTCTGAATGTGAAACGCTAGTACGCCTCTTGACATCCTCTTTGACTTCACAAGTTGCCACTGAGGCATTTTCCTCTTGGAAGCTAGTTCAGGTATTTTAGCCAGTATTCTCTTTTAAAATAATAACAGTCTCTTAATCTCATTTTCAATGTTTTGCTCTTCAAAAATCACTCCTCTGAAAAATTTACCCCTTTTCAAAATTTCTTCTCTCGTGGATGGTCAGAAATAACAAAGCCTTTAGGAACTCTTCTGATATGCTGTATTTTTTATCAAATGTAGGTTGGCCATCTGCCCTATTTCGCCTTTCCAAAAAAAAGGCTCTCGTTAAGAAAATTAAGAATATCGTGTTTTTTGAAACCAGATTTCCCTTTGGCTGAGATTGAGGTTGCCAGATTTTCATACCGCAGAGATTGTTACAGAAATGTTTTGTGTGCAATTCCACTCAAGCAGACCATTCTTAATTCTAATTCTTAAATTTGCACCTTGTCTAGTGATGTATCAGGATGTCTCATTTAAAAAACCTTCCTGCAATAGAAGTGATGCTACCAAACATGGATGCAGGTGTTTTTGTCAATATAGCCAAACATTTTATAACTAAGGAGGTGTCCACATTTACTTTTTCAGATGATGGTGGTCAATATGTATGGAATGCACCATTTAATGAGTGAAGGTACCCAGCTCACAACCGAGCTCACTGCAGATGAGCGAACTGTCCGATCGTTCTTGATAGACATGATAGCTGGATCGTTGAATGCCTTTCTAATTTCTGTTTACATGCTAAAACAAGAGGCGCTTTTGGAGTATTTTGCTCTTCCAGTCAGTAAGTACCACAGTCATTTGCGAACTTGAATAAATATTGGAACTCAATTGCAAACTTAAAAAATGACCTTGAAATCTAGAGTGGTATCTGAGTCTTTTTATCATGTTTGTATGGACTGATACTATTTCAATGCTGATCACAGTTTCCCTCTACAGAGCAGCCGAAGGAAGTTGGCAAGGTGCAGACTGGAAAAATACCATTGCGAACAGAATTCTCTCAAGACTAATTTCAGAATAATTTGCAATCAATTTATAACGTAATTAATCAGTAAAGCTTGATTAAGTCCAAACTAAAATCTAGATTTAAGCTCAAATTTGCCTGAGTCCCAAACCTTAGGAGGTTTTCACGCATGCGTTCGTTCGTAGCAATTTTCACTGATTTATTTTTTGATGACAAGAGTAGACTGACCTATTTTACAGTCTAAAAAGCAATGTAAATTTTTTACTCACACGTCAAGATCAGAAAGTGTTTTTGGAAGCCTTGCGTGAGTTACAAAATACAATTAAACCTTGACTTAAGTAAGGACATTTGATTCAACGACTTTCTTTTTTTAAAAAAAAATTAAATTATAAAGATAAAATAATAAAATAAACACAATAATTTTAAGAATTTTAAGCCAGTAATTTTAGTCAACAGACTAACTGCTTTTGTTCAAATAATATCCACATCAGATTCAGCGATAGCAAGCTATGAAATGGCTGTGCATACTTTTGGCTGATTATATGCAATTGCCAAGATCGCAGAAGGTGACTCCAAACAACGTTAGCAGTGTATTGAAACACTTTTCAATGTTATGGTAACTTTGATCTAACAATGATTTTTGCCGGTTTGTTGACTGCCATTGTATTGACGTTTTACCATTATTATACTTTTACTACACTCATTATTTTTAAACTGCAAGTTAAAGCTACCCATATTGTATTGTATGTATACAATTCTCCGCGCTTACTTCATTCAAGCTTGATATTTTCGTCAACCGCGCCTCATCGCCATTTACGTTGTTTTTCTTTTAACATCTAGAATCATATATTTATATTGTGGATTAAGAATGTATTTTGTGAAACAGCTGAGCTTATTTCCTTCACAATTTCCAGCAAAAAATTTAATTGAATTAAAAAAGGATGAATAAAACTGTGTCAAACTTTCCTCCCTAAATTCATTCATGTATATTAAAACTTGACATTGATTTCAGTCAAAGTCACCCTTGACTTCCTGCGTCTCGACCCGCAATTGCTCAGTGAGCCTGGGTTTGTGTCTCGTCCTCAAATATGGCCCAGTCTTGCAAAGCTGTTGAACAATCTTCAGCCAAGTTTGAATAATTTCAAGGAGAAATCTTGTAAGTTTGCATTTTTCATCCTTTTCACTAATGTGAATATTTGCATGTAATTTTACTTTAACTTCCTGTCTCCCAGATGAAAAAAATTCAGGATTCCATGTTGCAAATCTCCTCATATTCAGTTTAAAGATATCTATATTTAGTTGATTTCTCAGTTTTCTGAAAATTAAGAAACTAGTGCACAACCAAACAATAAAAACATTTTGCATCTAAACACACACTTCAAGTGGAACTATAGAAATATCCTGTAAACCTCCTTAGTGTTAAGGGCAGGAAAGTGAAAGTCTCTTTTTACTTCTCCTCCCCTCTCTCATAATGTTCCTTTTTAAGTTTGGAATTGATAATGCTTTGACTTCTTAAAATCATGGTGTTTTCATTTTTTTCTAGACAACAGTGTGCCTCTACCAGAAGACAAAGATTTGCAAGGATTTGTCCCGTTAGAAGAAGCGTTTTCAGGATTAACGTAAGTACCTCCAAATGTAAACTATTTGACATCTCCTAAAGCCTGTGAATTTTGAAATTCTCATTGAAATTAAACCCTTGGAAAAACCAAAATTTCGCCGAAGCATGTGTGCCTGAACATAATCTTTGATCCACCAAGCTTAATCTTCTGTGTGTTGCTTCAGGTTTAGTGTTAGTCCTCAGATCAAATGAGGTGTGTGCCAGAGGTAACATTTGCATTATTTTGTTCTCTCTATTTTGTTTATCTAGGTATATTTAATTGATTTTTTTCTCTTCCAGGTTCAATCACAGAGTTACTCAACATGATAAGTCAATCTTGAACAAGCTGAGAGCATTGCGTTTGGTCAGTTTTGGCAAATGGTTGGCCAATGCTCCGGATCTGTCTCTCTTATCAGCCAAGTAAGTTGGATGTAAAGGGATGAAATTTTTGTTATTTTCAAAAGTGAGGATTTTAGAGGAATCATGAAATAAACTCTGCCTCAGATTAATCTCTTTAATTTTTAATTTTAAAAAAAGTATCGTCTATGAATTTTGTAACTGGAAAGTTTTGAAGAAAATACAGAATTTAAAAGAGAAAAATATAGAGCCCCTTGAAAGCACTCCTTTCACCAGACTTAGAACTAGGAAGGAGGGTAAGCAATTAAATTGTTTATGTTCAACTCTCTTAGTACCAGGTTAGGACTCGCCACATGCACCCTCATATACCAGGTCAGGAATAAGCAAAACTTCTTTGTGGATTGAGTGAAAACGGTGGTCTGTAGAGAGTTGGCGCAATGATGACTTTTGATCAGCATCCATAGATGAGTTTAATGCGGTAAAAAAATCGAAAATCGATCATGGCCCACATCCCCATACAGGTTTGCGGGGTCCTTTACCATTGTAAAATAACTAAGTTTTACAATTTTACTCTGTCATTATAATTTTTCCTTCACTTTTTTCAGGGATGAAGGAGAGATAACAGTCTTTGAAGCATCAAGCACACAGGTGCAGCCATCAGCTGAATTTTTGCAAGAACTCAAAGAGCTGCAGTTGAACAAACTTGTTACCCCTCCTTCTGGATCACCATCACCATCTTCTGTCACTCCCACGCCCACTCCACCAGAATTCTTTGATAATAATCAAGGTGAGTATTAAGTTCTAAGGTGCTTCATCTGAAACTAGGTACTATATGAAAACCTTTTCCCCCGCGCACGGCTTCTTTGTTCTTAGTTATTATGAATTTTCTCTTTCAAATTGGCAGGTGCTATCATTCCTAAGAGAGACACTATCGAAAGAGCATTCTTAACCTACAAATACTGTAAAATTCTAGGTTTTAAAGCAGACTGCTAAGTAAGCTGTAGCATATATGAATATGTATGTATACTCCTATATACTGCCGTGCTAAGGAAGAACGCCGTATGAGCCTTCAGGCGTTGCCAAGTTTCGTTCGATAAAACAAGAATTATCTGGTAAAATTATGAAAATTTTCTTTCCAAATTTTAAGATAATTTTGCTCGCAATCTCACCCAAAGTTCCTGAAAATTTCAAGGAAAAATATTCATATCTTTCCTCCAAAATGAACATTTTGTCAAAGGAAATTTGGCAACTCTCGAATGTTCATACGGCGTTCTTTCTCAGCACGGCAGTATAGAGCATACATCAGATCTTATGTGTAACATATGTAGGATCCTACAGTGTCTACATTTAAGTTTTCTATAACATGTTTAACCTTCAAAAGTTGCCCAGAAAGTGACTGGCACGATCGAAATTCCTTAAGCGGTCTCTTTAGCGAGATATTAACGTTTTTGGTGCTTTAAATTCAATATCTTGTTGATTTCTGTTAACAGTGAAAAGAGGTGGAATTTTGAAGCCAAGCAGTCTGAAAAAAACCAACGGAGAAGACTTTAAGGGAAAAGGTAGACAAAATGTTGCCATGCAGGCAATTTTACGGAAAAATAATGAACACGATAGTAAACAGGTAATACATCGTTATATTCTTTAAAATTAATTTTTCTCCAAGGAAGACTTTTCAAGTGCATTTGAATTGAGTTCTTAAGAAAGTTGAAAATAGTAGGCATACCAATTATGAAGTCATAAATTCAGTGTTATATCAATTGAACGTATTTCTGTAAAATGGAACTAAGCGCCATCGGGGGAGGAAGGAAGAGGGGGGCTTGGATTGGCGGCGGGCTCATTTGTTCCTATACTCGCAATGCTTTTCTATGGAACTTAGTTCCGTTTGACAGAATGCGCCATCCGGGATTCTAAATTCCTCAAAAGGAACTCAAATTGGCGCTTAGTTCCGTTTGGCAGAAATATGTCCAATTAGTGTTCAGAACTTCTCGTCTGTTCATGTTTTCTCAATAGTTGCTCTTATGCGAGGATAGCACGATTACACGTTGTACCTACTATCCATCGACTTTGATTTTTACCAAACTTTTTTGGATTCATTGTTTCTCACTAAACATTTAACATATTTTTCAGGTAACATTCAAAACGCCATCACCAACATGCAGTGTTCAGTCTCAACCGGAGTGGCCTCCGACAGCACCAACGAACACCTCCAACTCCTTTCCCCACAATTCGCCACCGTTTTTCGAGCGACCTCAATTTCTACCAAACGCCAGCTCTCCCTCTCCTCACTGCCCAGCTTCCCCGAAAACTCCTCCTGGCCCCCCACCCAACTACCCTCCCACTTTCTGCCCTCCATCTCAGAACTTAGGCTTTCACAGTCCTCATTCAAAGTTTTTCCCGCCACAAGTCCACGGAATGGGAGCCCAGACTCAACCGATAAATCCTCCTGTTTTTTCAACTCAGCCACCGCAGGAACAGTTCAATCCTTGGAATGGTGTAGTCTGGTTCAATCCGGAAGAAAAAGACAAGCGATTATCAGCAGAACAAGTGCAAAATGAAAACCACATGTACAGTGATCCAAACGCTTTCAGCAGGTAATTTTGTATTTATTTTTCTTTATTATTTGAGAGGACACTTTATGCGTAAAAAAATATAATTGACAAGAATCCCTGAGAAAAGGAACTCTATTTCTTGAAAGCTTTTTCAGAGGTGGGATTTTTGTGAAGCTTAGGCGAAAAATCAAATCTGAATTTTCGACACAAAGCATTCTCCAGTAATCTCAGAGAAAAAGTTAAGACTAGCTGAGTATATTTGTGTCCAGTAAAAAACATAAAATTGCATTCAAATATTTTATCGGAAATTCTCTGTAGTATTCCAAAAAATAAATTGACAGTGGTTCAATTCACTTTTGTGCAAACTGTATGTAAAGTTGTAATTTTGGGTCCATAACATAGTAGATTAAAACTTAAAATTGGTTTTTCTCAAAACTATGCTTTCAAACATCAAAGTTCAAATTGTTATATCTCCGATCGAAATGAAAATTTTTTAAACTCTCTTTTCATGCCAAAATATTTGCGAAACATTCCTCATTAAAAGCATAGACGATTTTTGAAGAGGGTTTCCCCCCCTCAAGGTTTCTTCTTTTAAGCATGGTTTCGAATGTTCTTTGACCCAAATTTATTTCCAATATTGCTGAATTAGAAGTTATTGTTTGTATCAACCTGTGTTAGGTTACAGTTGCAGACCACTGCGTATCCTTTACACAGAAATTGAAATGTTAAAAAAATTGCATCAAAAATCATGCCCTGAAGAGGAACAGAAAGAAATTGGAGGTCCCTTTGTGATTAAGATCATTTTGAGTGGAACTCTCAAGTTGGACGCTGCATAAGTGTTTCTTATAGATGCAAATCTTTGTTTTGCATCAAAATAAGTATTCTAAAAATGTTTGCTCAAAATCACATTTTTTGCCCCTATGAACTTTCCATGAAAATTACCCAAGATCCTTTTTCCTGCATTGCATCAAATGTTTTAGACGTCTACTCTTTAAATGAAACAGTGTCTCTATCAATTTTTTCTTGTTTGCAGACCGGCAGTCTTAGAAGAGCAAAGAAGTGTGCCACAGAATGCAGAATTTATGAAAAATGGCATGTGGGAGCCTGTAAGACCGGCAAGTGTTTACTCAGAGGTAGATGTCATTTTTTTAATGTTTTTTTTTATCCTTTATGCATGTATTTCACCCCTAGCAGATCCTCCATCTTAAGTAAAAATGCTGTAACTCCACTCCAGATTTTGTATTTATATTCCACACATACTATTCTATTACACGAAAACATTATCATCATCAGTGGCCTGGTGTGCTTTGCGATATATTGATTGATACGCCACTCAAACCTATGAAAAAAGATCGATTATCAGGGTGTTCGCAGCAAACGCCTTAGTAATCGATTCTTTATCATAGCTTCAAATGGCGAGATATCGATAATCGATCATTCACGCCACGCCACGCCACTGATCATTATCAAGCTTAATTTGTCCAGTTTGAGGTCCAGTAGTATATCATACAGTCACTCTAACAATATGAAAGACAAATGCTTATCAGTTCTCATTTAATAGAACAATATCTCAATTAAAAATCGAAAATATTTAGAATGAGTTACTTAATTCACGTTGCTTACAAAGATCCTCAACTACAAGCTTAACCTAGGACCTCCATCTGGAGGCAATGCCCCAGAACGATAGACTAGGGTTGAATTTTATTGGTTTTATTATGAACCAAGATTTACAAACACCGCGTTGACCAGTGTTTTAATGTACTCTCAGATTTTGTATCCAATTGGAGATAGTTACCTTTTTCTCAATTTCAAATCTAAATAATTTTGTGATTGGAGTCTGTGTGTGGAAATTGATTTTAATCCACCTATCAGTCTCTCTAGGACCAATAATTATCATGTAAATTTGATGGAAATGAAAGGCAGATAGTATAAACTGTCCTTTTCTTAATTATTGAGGCTATACTTCAAGTTTCAATGGGCCACTGGGCAAGGTTTTTCTTAGAAAAAAAGTCACTTGTTTTCTCTTCAGAATCTTTTATGAAAAACGATTCACACGACAGAATGTTCGCAAGTTAACTCCTGAACATTGTATTAGCAAGTATTTTTAACACAGATCTAATGGAAGTTGTATTATACAAATGACATCATTTGTGCTTTTGCTATTTTTCCAATGTTCATTGCTAAGACTGATATCTAGTTAAGAAGTCTATTTCCAGACTTTCTGGCGTGCGATTCGTTTCTCTCTTGAAATTTCACAGAGAGAACGCGCTGCGTAGTGCATACTGTCTTAATTAATACCTTGTTTAGAGGTACATTTCAGAAAATTTATCCGAACTGTCAAATTTCAGCATGTACCACTGTGTTTCTTGACAACCAGAAGATCATGCACTCTTAGTCATTAGTCTGTTACTTTTCTATCCTTTTTCAAAATGCATTCTAGCTGTACTCAATTGAATCATGTATTTTTCAGGTGGGTACGTTGAATACGCAAGTTTCTAATTCAGTAAACAATGCTCCTCAGCAGCAGTTGAACACATATTCGCTCTTCAGTCCCGCTTGGGGTAGACAACCCTTTATCGATGAACCAACAGAGACATATCCACCCTCTGAAAATGCATTGAATATGGCTCTTCTGGCGCACCAGGTAATTATTTTCTCTTTGTTGACACCCTGCTGCTATCTCTCTATGAGATGCCTCTGTCGCCTCTTCCAGGAGCAACCCAATCCTAAACTTGTTTGGGCAACCTCTTCTCTGACATTCTTTGCATCTGTCCATACCCTCCTAACTGTCTGGACGCAACATTGTGCATAATATTACTCTTAACCATCATCACCTGGCAAATTCTTTCATTCCAGACATGGTCCTGCCTAGAGATGCCGGCAGACTGCTGTCAAAAATCCATCTCAGTTGCTGTCAACATATCTTGAGTTTGCTTAGTCAAAGGCCACACTTCACCACCATAGAGCCTTATACTTTTCACGATGATTTCTTGGCCTTAAAGGCTAAGATCAAAGTGTAGTATCTGTTCTTAGCAGCTTAATAAGTGTCCGTTTACATTTGAAATATCAAAACTGCAATATAGAACTACAATGTAGCCACCAAATCAGTCTAATGATCAAAGAATTACCTAGGTGTTTTTTTTTTTTTTTTTTTTTTTTTTTTTTTTTTTTTTTTTTTTTTTTTTAAATTTGATATTATCAATTATTTTAAATGTTGCAGTCTTTATGGTCAGGACCAGGACCATCACCCCTGGAGAGACTTCTTGAACAACAGAAGCAACTACGAAACCCAAAATAAGAAATTGAAGAGCCACGCTTAGAAGTGGATTGAAATTATTGATTCATCTGGTCCTCTGCTTTCTCAGTGGTCTATTCACTCTCATCGACAGGCATCAAGCCATGAAAAAACTCGTTTCTCAGCAAGGGAATTTGTGCTGCAGGCGATCCATCAAATTTGGAAGATGAGTTTTTTTATAAGTTTGTATTTTCGTGTCAATTTCAGAGCGGTGTGTCCTCGTTTCAAAGTCACTTGGATACTTAGTGTATCGATAGAAGAATCATCACACTGCACTGACAATTGAGAAAAGATGGACCAGCTGCTAAAAGTCTGACCGTGAGGTGGAGCTGTAGGGCTCATTTCAGTCAGTCACAAAAAAAAATATTGATGAACTTTACTGGAGTACGTTGATGACATATTGACAGGAATATTTCTGATGTGTTTTTATGTGTTATCGTAACTATTTTTGCTTTATCTAATGTTTTTTGCTAATGTCCTAACTTCTCGTTTTTTTTAAAGCATGCTACCTATTGCTTATTCCCTTTTATTCGGTCTTCTCCTCGTACCTCCCAACTTGGTGACCAAAATTACCAATTCCACAGGTGGGAAATAATCTATCAAAGTTGAGTCAATGCGTTAATGCATCTTATTTCGTCCAACTTTTGGTTAATAACTTTTCACAATTTCTAGAAGGATTAAATTTGCAACCTTTTACCACGCAAAGAAAGAATAATTTTGTTGAGTGACAATTCAATTGTGTTTAAAAATTTTAGGTGCCAATAAAATCTCCTCACTGCTGAATCTATTTTTGCAGATTTTTTTTTCTGTCATTTTTGTTCAAAATAAAATGTGCGTTTTTGTTATTTTGTATACTCATCGGAACTTTGAAAATGAATTGATGTCACCATTATTTTACAACCTTGGTAGGCTTTTTGAAAATTTCGAAAAAATTGAAGTTATTTTATTCAATGTCTTCTCTTTTCGGTCCCTTGAATTGAATTTTTTTCCCTCTTAGTTCTTTTTCTTAATGATGGCAGTGCGGTGTACTTTTTCGTTTCTACATCTATATTTATTAATCTCCTGTATTCATATCCAAGTTTTTTTATCGGCAGATTATTTGGTCTTGTGAAGTTCAAACAGAACCCAAAAAACCTGTTTGAACCTTATCCTCTTCTATCTGCAAGCAAAATTATCATAAATTTTGTCCTTATTTTTTGCTCCAAAACCTCTAAAAATTAAAGTACATTTTGTCATAATATTGAAAGCAAAAGATTTCCCTTCTACCAAGTCTGAAGCGCATAAAGTACACCAAAACTCCTTACTTTAACCTAACTTTTTATCATTCTGATTTTTCCCTCTCATTTTTTCTCAATGTTCAATTATTATTCTTCAAGTCATAATCATCAGCTCAATTAGGATTATATCAGTGCCGAAGTGATTTTGTTTTTATATTTATATTTATGGATCCAAGTCGCTTAGGTCCTTAATCTATGTGTTAGGTCAAGAATATCGTACACAATTGTACAAGGATAAAAAACTGCAGCCGTTATTGTTTATGTTCTGGAATAATTGAAAAACCAGGATTTGTATTAATTTTCTTGTTGTAAAGAGGTCACAGAGGTCTTTCAATCAATAAATATTGATTAGTGTTTGCTGTAATTGATGGCGCATACACGTAATCTGTTAAAGTGTTAGCTGTATACTTTTTCATGTACTCAAAAACCTATCAAATAGTAAAGAAGACCATCTGCTCAACTCTCTAGCAGATCATCTAAACGTCTTTCATACCCTGACCACTAAACAAAGTACGCATTTAAGCATTCTCACATATGTCTCTTCCTCATAATTCTACCTGTAACGCAATTGGTGCGACGAAAGTTTCTCATGTGAACTCCAAACCAAGAAAATAACAGTTTTATTTAGAATTGGTTGCAAAAAATTTGAATTTTCTACTCACAAAAAAACCAGAGTCTACTTGAATCAAATCGGGCACTTCAGCAGTTGTGGCAGACTTCTCAATTGAGTAGTGTTCCTTTCGCACCCTGTGTCGTTTTAAGTGTCAACAACTTACAGTAGCTGAGCCAAAGTGCCGAGATTGATGTTGTAGTATGTTTACATTGAAAAGACTGTCACAGTAACATTTAATGTGCGTTTTAACTCGAGTAGATTTTTGTTTTTTCTATGAACAGGAAGTTAAAATTTATGCATCTAAAAACTTTCATATCTTGTTTAGGAGTTTCTTTCAGTGCTTTCGGTTGTGCAAGTCGTGTTTTAAGTAAAATTTTGATTAGAAAACACAGGTACATCATTATGCTTAAATTCGCATCTTGTCTATTGGTCCACTGTTAATGGTTTTATGTTCGTCACAAATGAATTTTTGTACTATTGAATATTGTACATGTCCTCAACCCCATTCCCTCCTAACTGTAACCATCTTATATGGTTAAAAAAACGTAAAGAGTAACTGTGACTGAAGTTCCAACAGAGTAAACTGACATGCTTAGGTGGGATGACGTTATATTAGAAACGCAACAATTAACCATTTTTTTACGGTCCTGAAACAAGCAGGTGACTGATCAACATGATGACCTCTTCATTGTTACCAGGAATGATATTGAAAGGAAGCGTTCTCAGGCAACAAGTACTCTCATTTGGTAGGAGTGTCAATTTTTCTATGAATATCGATTTCCTTCATTGCTTTTATTTTATCAAACCTGAATTTTAAAATCGGCAATGGTGCCCTCGAAAATACTTTTAAAATAGAGAAAATTTGACTTATTTTATCTAATCTATTTGAGCTTTACTCAGTCGAATTTTGACAGTATTCAAAATTAGCGGATCATTTTTTTTTATCCGCAGCAAGTAGATCTCAGCAAAAGTTTCAAATTCTTGCAAATTTCTTTCGTTTTCTGAGTTATTGAATTTATACAATTTTCTAGGTGCCATATTTAATCAAAAAAATCTTCAGGGATTAAAGAATTGACATCCCTAAATAATTCAACCAACAACAGTTGATTCGTCTGAACTGAATTGCCAAAATCAAAACTCTTTAGTCCACACCATCCACAATCTTATAGTTGATCTCAATTATTTTAAACTAATGGAGTCTTGGAGTGAAACAGATGATCCTTCATTTAGCCTCTTACATTATGTTTTAGTGCTGAATGAAGGTAGTGTATCTTCTCATGCACTTGAGGAAACTGTCAACTTAGTTGGCATAAAATCCAGGGGCAACCGAGAATTGTATTTTTCGTATGACCCTCGAGAAATATCATACATGGTAGTCAAGGCATAATAAATAATTTGTAAAATCAAGAGAAACACAATGAAAGGATAATCATCATGAACTTGTCTGTTTGTTGTGTTGACTTCTGAAATTTGCATCAGCATTAATGATCTGCCTGTGGTCAATTTTGGTCATAGTTGAAGGACTTCTTTTAATTTGGTTCTTTCAAAATCGTTAAATTTTTCACAATTCATTCAGTCAGGATAATCCGTCACAGTTACATTTCTCTCTCCTCACTGATTGTAAGCATCATGAACCTCTGGCTTTGCTTTTGATTTGTGATTTGCAAAAGTTGCATAAGTGTATGCCATTTCATTCTCTTGTTCAGTTTGTCTTGGGAATTCCAATTTGCAGATGAGAGCAGTTTTCATCAGTTTAAAATACCACAAATGTAAAGATTCAAGAAATTAGAATTGTGCATTGTTTTCAAAATCTGTTTTTAGAATACGTGCATTATTCTCTTCTAATCATTTTGAAAAGAAATGCATTCATTTAGTCCTTGACTATGATGCCATCCGTAGGAAGACATGAATACAAAAAGAATCCTCTTTCAATTTTTAATATCAAATTTTTTATTTTAAATTATATAGTTCTGCCTTCTACTGTGCTTGCTTTGATGTTCACTTTAGCTCCCTCTTTCTTTCACTAACTCAGTACCGGAAGATTCTGAAAATAATTTGTTTTCTATCAGAACTCCTGACTGCATACATTTTCAGAGGTGTGCTAAAATTGAATTCAAATCCAACCTTCAAGAAGGTTTCTAAGCTGAAACAGAAATATCTTCCTGTAGCTCGCACAAATACTTTTTGAAGGTTTGTCATTCTCTGTTCAATGAAATCAGGTCATTTGATATCAGTGTCAGTAAATGAATGAAAGGTCATTTAGAGCCAGTTTCAATGGTAATTTCAACTTAGTAATTCAACTCGGTAATTTCAACTGGTAATTTCAATTAGTTCATTGTCAACTTGAAACATTTTGATCGAGATTAAGTCTTACAATTGGGGAATTACATTTATTGGTTTTAAACAGAATGGCTTGATAGTTTACAGCTTTAATAAGTTTTTTTCTAATATGTGTCTAAGGAGTTTTTTGTTCCAATTCAGCCAATATCTCCGAAGTTTTGAGGAGAGGATGAGAGTGCTTTCTTTTTTCAAAATGTTTAAAATAAAAAAAAAAAAATCATTTTAATTGATAAAATGACGTGAACAGATATGTGATGCTTCAACTCTGTATAATTTAGATTACCGCATTTAATTGTTATTGTAATATTACCAGAGAAGATTTAAAAAAATTTCATTCGGAAATTCATCCGTCAAAACTAGTCCTTTCATTCAGCCTTTTCATACTTACAAAAGGTTCTTACACCTCTAGATCTTTTGCTCTTTTCGTCGCAAAACCTTCTCATTGGCAAAACTTTACAACCGACCAATAGTTAAGGCTGCTTGATAATATTACATTATTTTGGTCACCTCATCAGTAGGGTTTCAGTTATTTCTAATTGTCGCACCGTAATAGGTCATCATTCTTTACACTATTTTTGATGTTATATGTTGCTCTATAACCCTCACATTGCTGAAAAATTTGACTTGAAAAAATTTACTTTTTTGCACTAGCATTTTGAATTTTAAAAACTATGTCAACCATTGATCAATACCTTTTCTAACAAAATAAGAAATTGTATTTTAAAGAATAAAATCAACAATTTTTCTCTCCTTCTTGAAAAATGAAATTGTAATTGTGAAATCTGTTTACAATCATACACAAAAGAAATCTGATGTAATGAACAATCAATAAATTACAAATTAATTAAAAATATACGTGATTTTATTAATTTACATATGATACCTGATATGTTATTAAGTTTTTCGGGAGAGGACATACAAAATTTTAGCCTTACACTCTGTCCCATAGAGGTTAGACCCTAGATGGAACAGCTGTTACCGACACGACAACAAGTCTCTAAAACATGGCAATTTGTTATGGCTTATCTGAAGGGAAATGTGGGACATGCGAATGATTCTTCATGTGAGAGTAATCAAACCTGTTCCGCCAACGCAACCTTCCCTATTATATTAATGAGAATAATTACTGGCACAGATTAAAATCCCACTACAGCGCTAGATAGCAATAGACTGAAATCCCTTATCAATGCATAAATCAGAAAATAATTACTTTTCATAAGAAAAAGGACCCTTTAGGTCAAGAAACTCAAAATTGAAAAATTGCTGCCATTGTTAGGATAGTCATTCATAAAAATTTGGGACAAGAAAAGAGAAAAAGTATGTACTAGAAATGTGAAATCTAAAAAAAAAAAATGAGAAATTTCAACCATCTGAGTGTTCGAGAAATGGAATTAGGAGAAAAAGATGTTTGAAATTTTAATTTTATGGGTAATGAACTTAAAACAGTCCAATTACTTGGGCCACTAGACGACTAGAAAAAAATTCCCATATTTTCTCTTCAAAATCTTGCATTGAAAACAATACGTATGACAAGAAGTTAGAAAATTAACGACCAAACGAGATATTTTTATCACAGATCAAATGGCTTTTAGATAATAAAAATGATACTTTTGTCATTCGACAAATGTTAATTTAAACTCGTTATATCTTGTTTAGGAGTTAATTTCTAGACTTTCAGTTGTGCGATTCGTTTTCTTCGTGAAATTTTGAAGAGAAAGCATATTACATGGTGTTTAATTCATACCTTTTTTGTAGGCCCATTACATGCTCTACGTTAGCACAAAAATAAAATAAACAGCTTGTGGGTTATTTCTTGGGTCACTAGAAATGTTTCTCATTGAAAATTCAATTCCTGAGTTTATTTACACAAGTTTACGAAAATTGTTCTGGAAATTTTTTTCTGTGCACCAGGGTCCTTTTTTCCACAAAAAGCTACAAAGAGGGATTTATTCAGCATGGCAAATTAATAAATAGTTAATTACACTTCAATGATCAAACATGAGCTTCAGAGTACTAAGTATAATCTAATCTTAAGTGATTGGCCGAAACTAAATCTGAGTATCAATGAAAATCAGGTTTAAAAACTTGTAAAAAAAGAAAAAAATATGAAATATACTTAAGGAAAATTAAAATACTGGAAAAATTGCAAAAATCACAGAAAACACGGAGTCATACACATATACATATATTGGTCCTATAAATATAAAGGTTTTAGGACTCGAGATGCTAAAAGGAGTTTAATACAATATGTCATGGATCTGATTCGTTACATTTTGAATACATTTGTCTTAAAAAAATACTTTCATCAACTACCTAAAATATTATTAAAATACAAGAAGCATTTTATTTGCTCTTACAAAACAAGTAGACTGATTCTTGTAACTTCTGACTTTTTTGGGTGGTTGTGAAGAGGCAAAACTTGAGTCTGACCCAACGATAAGACACTAATTATTTAAACCATAAATCACTGAGTACCACTGCATCTCGGTATTAAACTCATCTCCACCTCCCAGTAAAGCCAGAGTCACACTGACAAACCTGCAGTCAAAAATATTTTGTTCAATCAACAAACAAATTTCGAGTGTAGCATAATTCTTGATGTCCCAATCACAAAAAAGACTTACATTTAAAATCCAGTGCAAGTATTTTTCTCAAATCAATAGCAAGGAAAACTCATAATGAAACCTAATCAAGGAAAACTCAACCTCAAAAAGACAAATTTTGGTCTCAGCAAAACTCACTTTAGAACAATATGTCTTAAATTCCTATTTTTTTTTTCCTGCTAAAACTATGACGAAGGAAAGTAGTGCATAGGAAGAAAAAAAAATCTACAGATCATTGGGAAATCCCTAGAGAAAAGAGTTGAGCTAACTTCAGGAACAATCACGTAAATACTAAAACTAATCACTCAAATTGGCAGTACTGATAGATTCCGTTGTTTATAACGGCCTAGTTCCTAGCAAGAGAGAGTAAGCTGTAAAATACTTGATTTCTCATCAACATTTCACTGAAATTTTTTTTTTTTTTTTTGGGGGGGGGGGAGGACCAAACTCTAGCTGTTTGCTGGACATACACATTTTTTGTTGGCCATAAATTTGTTCGTTTGTTGGCCAATTGAACCTACGTTGATTTTGGTTCTTTTTATATGAGGGAAGTTTTAATTTGGTGGGTCTAAAATAAGATGTAAACATTAATATCTCATTCATAAGTAGATTTCAGTCTTTTAAAACATATTTAACAAGTTCCGATAGAAATTTTGATGAAGAATCGTAGTTGAGGCTGATTCCTTTTTACTATGTCAAAAGGCAAGTGAAACAAGGGTTGCTCCTTTGCTACAGATCATCCAAAATCGACAAGACGACGCTCAGTTCCATTTGTTTCGTATCGATCATAGTGGAAAGTTTTAAGTAAAATGCTGATTTTCAGATTCGAATCTTATTGGTCCTATCTCCCCCGGTTTTAAATTTCCCCCAAGGCTACAACAAAACAAACGGAACAGAGCGTTTGGTCGATTTTGGGTGCTTAAATAGGTGAGGAGCATACCTTTGTTTCACTTACCTTGGTCAAGAGATTCATTACTTGCAAAATATCCAAGCTTTCATAACATCTCATCTAAGATTGTTCCAACATTTATAAATGTTTACACTCTTAGTCTTTGGTAAAAACTGAATCTTATTGATTCTAAAAGGTGAAGACGGCAGATACTTCTCTTCGCCTTTATAAAGTTCACAGGATAAACATGAAATACATTTTCATTCCTTAAAACAATAGGAAACAACATACATACCCTTCAAAACTTGTGTTTAAACACTGCAATCACTCACTCTAAAAAAAAAAAGGAGCAAACGGTAATTTTTAAATTTAGTCTAACTTGGCTTGAGGGTAGAGACCTCTAAGAAAGGAGGAAATCAACTTCGAATAGAAAAATAAATTAAACAACTATGTGTGATGATATGATCAAATTGTTAACAGGATTTTGAGATATTTTTTAAGTTTTTCCCCCTCAAAATTCTTCCCTCTCTCAGTATATTTTGATGGAATAAAAGAAATTGAACATTTCCCCAGCCAGAAAAGGGGATTGAAATGTTCTTAAGAGGGGCAGAAAACCCGAAAAAGAATTGAAAAAATTAAAAAGTGAAGAGACGCTAAATCATAGAAAGTTTTCTCTTTTTCAATCAGAGACATTTAATCAGAGGAAGAGATATAGGTACCCATACATAAATACCTACAGACAGAGTCAAAAATTGCACCGACAAGAAAGGAAAAGTACTCATTGCTTTTAGAGAGAGAAAAAAGTACCAGACATACATGGGCAGAACTGAGGGGCCAATGTTGAAGTATAAGAGTTACAGTGAAGTTGCACTTACAGTAAAACCTCGCTGAGTCGGTTTTCATCGGGACCGAGGAAATTTACCGAGTTAAGCGGGTTACCGACTTACGCGGACTGCCACTTTTCCTGCCGCGCTTTTTCAAATTTCGCGCCCTAAATTGGACAAACGCAAACGTGCGTGTAGAGTGACTTGTAGGAGTGTTTAGGAGAGCCATTTGATCGAAGAAAATGGTACTAAAGAGTAAAATTTCATGAGATGCACTTGAAATTGCGTGTTGTAAGTGTCAGGGCATCATGAAGTCATCGGGTTAATCGTATGTTGGGGTGCCGCGGCACCCCATTGCGTATCACCCCCCGCGCACCCCACGCGGCATGCCGCGCGGTGATGCGCCGCGGCCACCCGCTATGGCGGGTCGTTGAACTGAAAATGCAACGTATCAATACTCGCTAAAATCTCCGAAAAACTCTGCGGAAGATTCCTGGGGGGAGCGGGGAAGGGCAATGCAAGATGGTAGGGGGAGAGGGGCCGGTGCCGACTTGACCTGTCAACTCATCGATGCGTGAAATTGCTTAATTATGCATGCGTGTTTTCACACGCGCGATAAGATAACACGCGGTATCAGATATCCTATTCTCTACTGTTCTCATCTTTCGTGTCGTTATCGAGTGTTTTTGATTCCTTATCTCTCTATTTCCGATGTCGTTTCTCGCACTGCGCTGCGCTTTCTCGGAGATTCGCTCACCCTTCGTGGCGTAACTTGACCCGACCCGCACCGCGCACGGAAACACTACCTACGCTTGATCACGGGTGACGATCGAAGAAAAACAGGTCGAGATGGAAAAATTTCACCGAGTTAAGCGGGTTCAGAATCTGACCAAACCGAGATACCGAGACTTATTTAGCATTGTGTTATATGGGTGATAAACGGGACCGGGCGATTCTACCGACTAAAGCGGGTTACCGGCTTATCCGGAAACCGACTTAGCGAGGTTTTACTGTATTGAAGTATGTACTATGTTCTCCTAGGTCCCCTTCATACAGTCCACACCAAATAAGTTTACTTCGATAGTTACACTGAGTTACATTCAATGCTAAATTGACACATTAGACGATGTTCTGTTACAGTCTAAAAGAGCGTAAATTTATTTGGCATTGACTATAGTAAAAAAATTCCTTGTCTATGAATTAAAGGAGGAAATTTCCCATTTGCATGAGTTCTCGACTGAAATCTGCTTCCACATAACCTTGATTGAGAAACATATGGCCTTGTCCACACGAGCGCGGTTCGCGGAACTTATTTGGAGGAACGTGTTCCAGGAACAAGTTTTTAGCTGAGCTGAAACTTATTCCTCCAAAACCCAGAACTTCCCCCGTACTCCGAGCTTCTACATATGTTTCTTTTGATGTGAATTTGTTTGTTTTTGTTTTTTACGTCCTTCATATGCGTCTTGACATTTATTTTTGTTACTTTGGCGGCCGTAATAATCTATTATTTCGCAATAATTGTATAGTTTTATTGAAGTTCCGGTTCCAGTTCCGGCGAACTCGTGTGGACAGCATGCCTCGTTTCAAGGAATAAGTTCCGGAAACTGAGCAGTTCGAGGAATAAGTTCCGCAAGCCTGCGCTCGTGTGGACAGGGCCTATGAACATGTACGCAAAGTGATCATGCACACTTTGAAGAATCAACAGAGGTACCAGGGACATTCCTATGAATTCCAGTTCCTGGCACAAAACTTTCCTGAACAAATGTAATACTCAGTTCTGCCTATGTTGACATAACTCTCAGATTAGATACTATGTACAGAGAGAGTGACTGTGTTAACAACCACACTAGCTAGCCCAAAGTTGCTCACAGAGGAGGCAAAGCTACTTCATCAAACCACCATCTTCCACTATCAATTATAACATACACATTCGATTTTCCTATACAAATTCCTCTTACTATCTTAAAGACAAGGAATTATTGCTCTTGAACAAATCAATCACATTTGACAGACAGATGCGATTTCTTCCTACTTTACAACTTGCACAAGTCCCTTCTTAGCAGTGATCCCAAGCGCCAAGATATATCCGTACCATTCGGACTTCCCCTAGACCAGTAGGGACCACCTATGGACTAAAAGTATAAAGGGATATGCTTTCCTTATCATAAGAAGTCTCTAAGTGTGACATCACCAAAACAGAGCGGCTTGGGCTTGCACAAGCCTAGCCGGAGTACGGACTTTTGTATGCGGCGCAACCAGGAACACTGCTTCTTACTTTGAACTTGGAGCCCAATTTTTACAGTTATACCTGAGTATTAGCTGATGATAGTCATTAATGATTTCAAATAAAAATTTTCCTACAAGTACGGTTACAGTATCACAGCCTGAATTTAGTTGGCTAGCAACTTCTGTCTGATAAACTGATGAACAGAACCTTCAGCGTAAAAGTAGAGATGATCTCCCCTACATGAAGTGGACTCTCATCGTTTTGGGAGAGAATGCTGTACTCGGATAGTTCATGGCTGAAGGTCATACTGATGTTTCTGAGTTGAGTCGCAGGACAAATTGGTTGGACTTCGGATGAACGACTTCTTCCATGATACTGAAGTGCGGGATTGTGTAGACGTGACACAGCAATGAAATGTCATTCTGTCTCAGCTGAAACAGGGTACCATTCTTCAGCGGCCTTGAAAGAAATTCTGAGCATATGAGCGACCATGTCTGAACAGGCTTCTGCTCCTTTTCATTCTGTAAAATGTAGAAGGATGAACAATTAAAAAAGAGCTAAGAAAAACCAGGCTCCGACAAGCCAATTCACCCGAACTCTTACCTAAATTATTTTCCTCTTTTTTTTACTACTTAAAATACCCCACTAGGGGTAATATTGTATTTTTTAACTGTTAGAGTCCTATCCCCCCTCAGTACCTGCTGTGCAACCAGCCTGAGGCAATCGTTTGAGACCATTAAACTAGGGTCGCCTAGCCAGAAATCTAACCCAAGGCCTCCTGATTAGAGGGCCAGATATGCTGCTACTACTGCACCATTGGAGACCAACTGATAGGTCATGATTGGTGAAGGTGCTTTCACTTGAAAGTGTTGCATTTTGACTCAATCAGACGAGCAGCGCAGGCGGGAAGCATGGCTGTTGTATTCAATTTTCCAAAAATAAAAATGGACAACACCTTTTCTTAGAGGAGTTTCTACCGACCGATATTACAACACATTTTGCTTTAGAGGTGCATGCAATTTATTCAGGGAAGGATTTTCTGAGAAGAAATAAAAATCCTTGAAAATCTATGCCCCGATTAGACTAAAATTGTCTCCCTAAAACATTTACCTCCATTCACTATGGTCATTTTTTCAATGAGTGGTCTTAATAGTGGAATAAAAATTCACTTATATGTACCTGTAGAACTGGCGAGGAGACAAGGAACATGTCTAGGAAAGCGCGCGGTGAGAGATCATGTGAGAGGCAGTTAGCTAAGTGAGTTAGTATTGACTCCATGGTGAACCTTGGTTGTTGCCTGGTTACGCGAAGGTACTTTTGGAGCGCCCGAGATAGACCGGGAAACACTGCTTGAGCTGCTTCATGGGCATCCATTGTAATACTACCAACTGAAAAAAAATATTACAACTAAGTAATGAGGGTTTTTTGGGCCGACAATGTATGATGAGATATCAAAATATGGGCATTTATGATGAACCAACTGACAGACGTAGTGCCATTCCTGCTGTTTGCTGCTCAATTCACATCCACATACTTTAAAAATTTTAATTTTTCCTTCTAGAATGCTCAACTACATCCTAAATGATGGGGTAAAAATTTAGTCCCCTCTTTTCCTTCAAAGTCTTCATAAAAGAATTATGCCCCAACAAGCCCTATACTGAGGCAAAGAGCGTCATGGACAATACAAATACATGGGTCCTATTTTTGTGATGTCCGAAATGCTATATTTTTGAGGGTAGCTCTTTCTGAGGTGTAATTTTTTTCATGACACTTTGCAGAAAAGGAAGAAACCCTCTTGCAGGGGTTTAAAGAATTTTTTTAACATTTTTCACTCCAAAAAATTAGCCCCTTATGACATTTTGAAGTTTCAAAATATAATGTCTGAGACAAAAAAAAAAAAAAAGCCCACTGTTATGGACAGGTTTGAAATGTTGCAAAAGACTTAAAAGTATATGCAAAAAATTAATTCGATTGCGATCCTCGGATTTCAGTCCTAAAATTTCAAAGTTCAAGGACTTTTGGATAAATTCAAGAGTCTTATTACAAATCAGGGAAAACCAATGATCCATGAGCCATGTTGCATGAGTCCTGATTACAGCTGTAATGAGTTTAACAAAGAAAAGATTTGTGTCAACAACTTTTTCGGGTAGGGGGGTATAAGTTGAGTCAACCGCAGATAAGCAGAGAGTTCCTTCACCTGGATCGTGATGCATTCGTTTGATATGTGTAAAAGCTTCTTCTGTAGCTGTGATTAACCTTGCTCTGCGCTTCTTCACTCGCCTTTCATACTCATGTTCTTCATAGAATCTTTCATTGTGAGATGAGTCTCTACGACGCCCACTACTCAAGACTGTTCTACTTCCGGTCACCTAAACAAAGGGAAAGAGGCGACTTGATAAGGGACCGTGAAAAACTAAAACTAAATTTAATTCCATTCTCATAAGTAAAAAGACTACAGTTATGAGTCTTTCTTCCTTTCCTATGTTGAGTAAACTGGTAAACTATGAAACATCAAGGATTAAAATTGAAAAAGGCGGAATATGATAAAAATATTTTCAGTGCAATTAAGTGACTTAAGAAACTATAAATATGCTCGAATAGGATTTAAATTAAATAATTCAAAATATTCCTTTGATTTGAGAAAATAATTCATTGGTTGGTGATAATTTTTCGCAAGGAAATAAAAAAAAAACAGCTCACTTAATTGTCCACTTTGCGCAATTTTGGTAGTGACAAATCTAATCCTCTTTCGGTTGCTAAAAATAACCGACTTGCTTGCACAGAAAAAAAAGTAGTTCTTAACCATAAAGTCTTCTACAAATGCAACCTCTTAATCAACTTAATTGAAGACAAAGTCAACATGGATATGAGCATTGAATGAAAAAAGAAACCCAAAAAACTAAATACTGGGTCAAAATAACCTAGGCTGAAAAAATGACATTCAAAAGCATTTGATGCAAATATGATGATGAACAAGTAATCAAATTTCAATTTTTGGCTTGGAAACCATTGTACTTTTGTCTGTACTAATCAAGTGAAGAATATTCTTTTGAAAAAACTAGAAGGCTGTAAAAATGAGTACGTACCCCACTGTTGAACCCATCAACATCATACAGCTTAAAAGTCGATGTTTGTCTGCGGGCTTTTGAAACAGGAAGTCTTTCCAAGTAAGGATTGAAAATTGGAAACTCTGTGTAGTAACGTTGTAAGATATGGACAGCAGCGCGTTGAATACTGAACTGACCAACAGGATAGGACCGACTTTCTCCGTCTGGACTCCGCACAACCTAGAAAATAATATTTTGAATTGATGAGCGTCTTTGATACAATTGAAATAATCACTGTGCCATCATGGCAGATTCTTTAGGATCAAAAACACATATTCAAGGGAAAACAAACCAACCGAGTTAGAAATATTGGTTTTGGTACCTTCTAAAACACAGAGCATGCATGAACATTTTTAAAATTCAGAAGCGCCATTTTAAAATCAGCCATCATTAATAAATTATTTAGTTAAACAAATTATTTCTATCAGTTTTTCCGGTATACTCAGCAAACGGTGACATTTGAAGGCCCAACTTTCTTAAGACTTCTGGCTCCACTAGAATTTACAGATTGACAATTTAATTATAAAGTTCAAGAGTAAACAACCTCGAAAAATTTTTTTAGTAGAGAGAAAAGACTTTAAAAAGGCAGACACGATATTTATATATTTATTTACTTTTTACCGAACAAATTTTGTGATCTCCCATTGATGTTCCTTCTGAAGACAGGCCATCTCTGGAGCTTTCAGTTGCTTATATTACTGAGATAAAGAAAAAGGGAAAATTAAAGTGCTATGGCCTGTTCCTATCACCATTATAGGTAGCTTGACAAAATACACACAAAAAAAGAAAAAAATGTTCTAATCATTAATAAGCATCTGCTCCAATTAGTTTCTTACAAATTTTCCCCCTCAAAATCGATTTCTTTTTAAACTAAGTGATTCAATTTTACATTGTGTTGTTACCAATACTAAAACTGTTACTGGGATAGAGTTTAAAGCCAAGATGCACTTCAGTGAAATGTATTCAACACCCTACGCTATTATTCACTTTCACAAAAGTTATAGAAGGAGGGAAGGCAAAAAAGGAGAGAGAATAATGTAACATGAATTTAACAACTCATGAAAGGCACTTACTCGAATATAAAATTGTGGCTGCAAATGCCTAATTTCGATGAGTAGGACAGCAATAAAATAAATGAACAATAACGTGTTTGCTAGGTTGACAGCATGGTTAACTAGAGCTCTGTACTCTACGGCATCTTCACCTGCAGCAGTTGCTCGCATACCTGCCACATTACAGAATAATATAAACGACACATCATATCAATGGTCAATACAAGAAATCAGAGTTCTGAATTTTTTTAGAACTGAGATTGTAAAACTTTAAGCCCATCGCATGTTCTCTCCCTACAATATTAATGCTTGCTTCTGTGACTAAATGCAAAAAATACACAATTCCAATGTAATATTTAATGAGAAGAGGGCTGCACAGGGTATTGAGTGGCTACATATGGTCACACTTTTTCTGCCCCTCCTACCCTTGGACCCCCTGCTGAATCCATGATTGTTGGAGCACGGAGAGTATGAGGAACAAAAGCTTTTTCCCATTGATATTAGCTTCAGTAGTTTCAGGAGAATTAAGTAGGACAACTCATGATAGGAATGATCCTCCTCCTGAACATAGCAGTATCCTTATGAAAGTAGTCACCAGGATAGGTTATCTCCCACTGGTTGTATATCTACTGCACTGCTTTTACAGATTCCCCTTCCTCACAAAAAACTTACTATTGTGCGCTTTTTAACACCTTTCTCATTCAAATCTACTTGATAATTTGGAATTCAAAAACAGTAAATTATTTATAAATGGGATGATTACCTTCTGTGACATGAACGATATAGAACAACCAGTAAGCCAGGAGGGCAAGTAATGTGAAGAGTAAAGTACAAGCTCTGAATAAACAAATCCTTGGTAAGGTTGCAGTAGAGCGGAAAAATACAGCCCATGCTCCTGCGACCAGTAAGACTAATCGAAATACCAGCGATACAAGCAATGTTTTACACTCAGCTCCACATGCCAGCAAGATACTTTTCTGAGATGGGCTCAAGTTTGCGGCTACTCCAGGCCAGAAACCTGAGAAATTAACGAAACAAACACTTCTGATTAATGATTACAGGGTGTCTACCGAAGCAGGCTGACCAAAAATCAGTACTTTTACAGTACTTTTTTGGTGCAATCCCAAGAAATTCCATACTTTCTTAACAGAAAAATTCAGTACTTATTCAGAACCTCCAATTGACGAAATTCGAAAAAATTCAAAAATTTGAATTTCTCGCTCAAATTATGACAAAAACTGGAAAAAATCCTGGACCTTCCAGCAGAATTTCTGCACTTTTTCAGTACTTCCTGACCGCTCTTAAAAAATCAGTACTATTTCCGGACTTTCTGGATATTCCGGATTTGTTGACTCCCTGATGATTAGCAGTGATGAATCAGTTCATAAGTAAAAAGTAAGCATCAAAGAAATTTCAGAATGTTTGGGAAAAACTGTCTTTAAAACATTGTTTTTATTTAAACAGTACCTAGTCTGAGCGTTTTATTTCTGATCGAACAAATTATGACAGAGAATGCAAGATAAATAGAACTCTTGCCAGATGAGTTGACAGTTGTTTAATTTCTAGTGTCATATACAGTAAACCATAAAGCATATTTGCCCACAACAGCATCGTCACTATTGAGGATACAAAAAATTAAAAACCAGCATTTCTGCCTCCTGGCTTAAATACAAATTCGTCTGCTGCGATAATTCCCTATTTCACAGCAAAATGTGCGACCGCCTCCTTTTTCCTTAAAGAGCGAGCAAATAAAGAGGAATAAAGTCATAATTTTCAAGAACTGCCTCATACGTCTCGTTATCCTAGGATCATAAGATCGGGATTTTTTATTCCCTAACAATCCATGATTGCTGATAGGTGGTATCTGTATAGCAGTTCCAAAACCATAAATCAATACCTACCCAAGTTTCTGAAGCAAGCTTCGATTAAATTGACCTCTTTCAATTGATAAAAAGATCGAACAGCCAAACCCAACTCGATAAGTTTAGAAGGATGTAAAAACTAAAGATATCTAGCAGCTATAAATCAAGACTTACCAATTTTAGGTGCGACAACCATAGCTACGGGGGAGAGAAAAGAGGCAATTGAAAGAATATAATTGGAAACGGTTCCAATGTATCGATGACATAAAAATACAAATCCTCCGTCTGGCTCATTGCCAAACCAAACAACTGAATCTTCAACAGACCCTGAGACGTCTGATGTGTTGCCTGTGACAGCAGTTGTGTTTTCACCCCAGTTTTCATCCTAAAAGCGGTGTCAAGGTTAGAATTAATACAATAGAAAACAAATCAATTTTTCCTTCAAGAGGATTAAGCCGTAGAGAGAAAAAAGATGTTTGCATCTTGAGGATTGTTTGCCCTCTGACGTATGTCGTGACCAGAATGTTCGGTTCTTTGCTCAAATCAACTCATGATATAATTTCAAACACTTTACATAGAATGACTTTTTTCCATTAACCTCATCACTTTAAAGGAAATCGATGATAAAAATCATCCTGACCGACCTACATCATCAAGAAAATCCACAATGCCCCAAATGCAAACACCTCATTTTCTTTCTCTATGGGATTGAGCAAGGATCTGAGAAGTTCCGAGACAATAGCCGCTCACAGAGATGCAGCATATTTTCCTGCAGAAGAATTTCTTCTGTGGACCAGTAGACGGGGGATAAATTTAAGCATTATTATAGGTTTTCTCATCAAAATTTGACATAGAGTACGATTTCCACAACAAAAATTATTGAAAGCATCTCCTAGCAAGGATATTAACATGAAATAAAACCATAATCTACTTCAGTTAAGTCACACACTAAACATTACCATGACAGTGTTTGTAATATGAAAATTATGAAAAATTTAATATCAGTGCTTCAGCTCAGCTATTGGACACTGTTCAAATTTTGAACAATACAGGGTGGAAAAGAAACACTGCCTATGATGAAGCCTGCCAAAACCGTTGTAGTGCAGGATTTGATTCAATTAGTCTTTGGTTTGTTATGTGAGCAGCATGCCAATTATTGAAATTGATAGACAAAGCTGTAGACAAAGACATGGGAAATTTTTAGCAATCCTATTAGTTGAAATGGCCGGTTGCGATGGACAAAAAAGGTGAGTGATCGACTAACTAACGGCAACCAACAAGAAACCCTTAAGTTAGTCCATCATTTCCCCCTTAGTATACAGGAATCACTCATTTCATAGGATTGTTCCATACTCCCTAAGTCTTCTTTGTCCATAAATTTTAACTATCAGCCCACAGGTGAGCTTTATAATAAGTGCTAGATAAAATCATGAATATCTTGGTTGGAAGTTGATTTCGGTAATTTTTGTTGCGCTTGTCATGCATTGTCAAGCTTGCATTCCTTTGGAATGACCATGTCCCTCTCCTGCCATGTTGTCTTTGCAGGACGGGTAGGATATTAGAGTAATAGGGTCATCCACAGCCGCAATGGCAGATATTAAAGTGTCCTCACCACCAGTGAGTGGTGTTAAGCCTGTTAACACCATGAATCAAACCAGGGACCTCAGCACTAGCAGTTAACAGCCTCGATCACTACACCACCCAGGTTAGAAATTTATGGTGATTATAATGCTTGAATGTATTCAAATGTACCTGTGGTAAAATCTGAACTTCAATGACTTCTTGACCATCACGGGAATCTTCTAATGTTACAGATGTCTGAAAAGGCGCCATTTCATAATCTCTTTTGTTTGACCTTCCACTTCTGAAAAATTAAAGTCACACATGAGAATATGCTTACAAAAATTAAACCTACAAGAGGAATAGAAAGAAAGAAGTAGAAGAAATAGACATTCGGCGGCCGCTATCTTATATATACAAAGTCCGACAGTGCCAACCATTTGACATTCGGTAATTCTGTTTCAAACTATCAACAGTTTGCGTTGACAAAGCTCCTCTTGACCAACTGCAGCCTGATTGTTGAAATTTTTTGTTTTTCGGTACGACAAAAGTGACACAGGCTAAAAAGCGGAGCGTGATTGGTCGGCTATGTCTTATCGCTGTTTTGTTGTGCCTTTTGTCAGGTGAGAGGTGCCGATAGCTTGTCAGGTGAGAGGTGCCGATAGCTTGTCATAAGTTCAACCCAACATAGGCACGAAAAAGCAGCTATAAGACATAGCCGACCAATCACACTTCGCCTTTTAACCTATGTTGTCCCGACAAACAAATAATTTCAACAATCAGGCTGCAGATCATTTTAGGTTTCTTGGCAAAGTAAACTTATACAATAACATTTAGTTCTTCTGTTTACTAAACTCAACTGGATGGTCAAATTGATCTCATGAGATTATTAGGCATTGGGCGGAAACATTCAGCCTGCATATGTTGACACAGAAATCATAAATAGTGCAAATGGAATCTGACAACGTTGACTACTTGGCATCGAGTACCTCCGTTTCCAAACTGATTCTATACTTCAACATCATTTGGCATGGACTCTGTGAAAACAAAATAAAACTAAGAAATTTTTAACGGTCTCATCTTGAGCCATGTCAAGGAATTGGATAACTTCCGAAAGCGCAAATCAAAAAACCATTTAAATTGCATTACCTATTCACACGGTGCGAGTGATTCCGGTGATTCTTTGACCTCTTTCCTTTCGCGCTGGTATCACTCAAAATGGAAAGTACAGATTCAGTTTCCATGATGCAGAAAATGCCTCACAATGAGGGCCCTCATTTGATCTTGGAGATGAAATATCAAGAGGTGAAAATCTAGTTAAAAAAGTAGAAATAATGATGATGTTAGGGTAACACGGAGCACAGTAACGGGAGTAACGTGAACAAACAAGATTAAGACGAGAAGAAGTGATTCAAAAATCCTGGATAGAAGTTAATAAGAGGATCGAGCGTGAGTGAGTAAAGTGTCACTGATGGGACACAAAGATTTGATAAACAACTTGAAATCGGAGAGTGATTTCAATTTTAATTGCTGTGTATTCGTGTTACAATACGAATACGCCGATGAACCAAAACAACGTAAACAAAATCCATTGAAGGTTTCACTACTCAACCAGTACTCACCACTACGCACCGTAGGAATCGATGATGAGTTTTTTCATTCATCAGAAACTCATCGTTTGACTTATGTGACGATAAATTATATTCTAAGCTGAACCGGAGACCTTCCGAGTATTGATGTAGAGAAAAAAAGGTACGAAGATAATTTTTCAGTTGCACATCATCGGTAAAAAATGTCTAATTACTTATTGTGAACAATGAGACTCATCGGAACCAATACTCGTCCAACACCAAGTTGGTGTTGACTCGTCACACTCCATCGGAATACTCATCGGACAATAAAGCTACTTTTTATCTTTGAGCCGGCAACAGTGTTCCATTATTGACGCATTCTTTCTTGATTGGCGGCTTATTTGAATTATTCTTCAGTATCGAGAGGATTAACTACAATCTTATCCTTCAGTAAAAAGCCTTTAATTTATAAAATCTTTAAAAGTCTCCTCAGGTTATCCATGTTAATACCTTTCAAATGTTAAGACAATACTTTACTGCTGTTTGCCATCCAGAAACACTCGCTTGAATACTTACTTGATAAGTTGATGACCCAGTTTTATCACCTCTACCTCTCAAATTCGAGTTTTGATTGTTAAATGTCGTTCTCGGTTGATTTACTTGATAAGTTTTAACTGCACCCACTCTTTTTTTTTAATGCATTTGCAGTTTGTATGTCCCACCAGAGTTGGTGCTATAAATGCCGTTCACAACTTGACTCGACTTTATACCTACTGTTAAAAAAGTTTCAGAGTTCAGAGGGTTTTAGTTCTCAGCTTTATTTGTACAAAATCTGATTTACTTCATGCAGCAATGAGATTTTGCCCTGATATTTAATGACTTCATTCATAATGTATATCTACACTGATTAGAAAGGTAATCCAGATCACTTACCTCTGATCAGTTTCCGAAATCTTAAAAGATAAAGGGAGCCCGGGAAAAACACTCAAAATTCATCTTCAATCTTGCTAACAAAAAAAAATTAATGTACCTTAACCAGGGTACTGCATTTCCACATTAGGTGTCCTATTGGGCCTACAAGCTTATGGTAAGTGTGAAGCAACCACAAGTTTTAATAAATATCAACAAATTTTGAGTAGTCCTGACTTGTGAGACTGCTTCTTCTTTTTGATAGGTACATCGGATGAGTCGGTATCAGGGGTATCTGAGATTAACTTTTCCATAATAAGATGTGCGGTATTGCTCTAGAGCGAGAAAGAGTATATACCTGAGAGTGAAGATGGGAGGGATATACTTGAATATGTGTTACTATTGATGTAGTTTGTGCCTTGCAGTGTGTAATGTCACAGTTTGCAACTCCAAGTTAGTGCTTCATGAAGGGGCCAAAAATTGGATCAAATGCACTTAAAAAATGTTGAAAAGGAGCCGCCTTCTTCCTCAAGCAAATAATAAATAGCTTGTCAATTATCAGTTTTGCCATCTTCAAAAAGTTCAGCACAATTGTCGCTGATGAAACTATTATTAACTTCAAATGGCAAGTTGGTTCTCCAACTACCTCTGACTGAATGTTATCTAATTGAAGTTTTTCCAATTCATGTATAAAGCTCAAAACTTGAGAAAGACATTGATTTAGAGTTGTTGAAAAACCAATATCCTGCTGCAAACTGATGCAAAAAGCTGAACTTATATTACACATATAACTCATTGAAGAAGTGTAAGAGACGAAAACCTCAAAACTGAAAATGAAATACATAATTTTTAAAGCATTTTCTTCTTCATGGTACTTCAGGAGTTCCAAATCCATCAAGTAGTGTCAGAATATTCTCATGCTTGCACAGGTAGAAGTGACACTATTTGACATCGAAGCCAGCCAAGTAGCCGAAACTAGAAATGAGTTTGAAATTCTAAGAGCTTCCTTGGTTTTAACTCTAATTGCACATATTAATCTGCATTTAAGCCAGAAGATAGAATATCCTGTGACATTTAGGTCACTGAGAATCCTGTGAGCATCAGTCCTTTATGTTTTATAGTTAATGACAAGTTTTGGTGCTTTACTTCCTCAAGTTTGAAGCTAAACATCTTCAATCAGGAATTAAGAATATTTCTATTTAATGTGGGTGTAAGTAATAGAATTATGTTTGCCTGGTCACTTTATCAGTTGAGAGACACATCACTATAACTGAGGAAGTTCCCTCATTGGTAATTAGAAATAATTTTTCGATTAAGAAGAGATGACCCAATATTGATATTGATTTTTTAATTTGGATGCATTCAGTAATGGTTACTATTTCTCTCAACTGAATCATTAAAATTATTCTTTCCTTCACATTCACCTTTAAACTCTAATCTAGTCCACAAATCTATACTGTAGCATAAAAAGTGTAAACAGATGAAATAAGATGTTGCCTGCTTCTTATCAATCTTTAAATTTGAGTCTCACTAAAAATAAGTCTACAGGGAGCAGCTTCAGTGCTGTCGAATGCTATGTATGTTGCACAAAAATTTGGGAAAAAGAGATTGATTTGTCGGGCAACAATGAAACAGTGAGTATATTAAAGAGATCTATATGTACAGTACATTTATGGTACAAAAGGAGAGGAACCAAGAAAAGTGTTAAAAGAGAAAAAAGAGAAATCAATGAGAGTGAAAAAACAAGATAGTAGTTTTATATACATACAAACACGAATAATTGAGAGAAAATAAGAAAAAGAATAAAGTAGAAAAAAAAGAAAAAAAAGAGTAATTAACTATATCATACGTAAGGTACGTTTTTGCGTGTTTTGTCGGTCAATAGATAACTTGAGAGTCAGCATTTTGGGAGACAAAACACAAGCTTGTCAGCCATTGATTCGTACATCGCAATTGGCTAGCTAGAATAGTTACTACTGACGTACAAGTTCCTTAAATTAATTCGTTTATAAAACTGACAAAGGATGATGAGGATCTCCGACTGAATGTCAAATCTAACTGTAGTGATAAGGACAAGAGAAAGAGATTTCCAACAGACACAATTTAGGCAGGAGATTATGAGCAGATGTAATAACTTCTCAATCCTGAAATTGACTTTCTCTCACAATTATGGAAGAAGACTAAATTTAATTGACCCAAATCAAGACTGGAGCCAGTCTCATCAAACCCTAAATTCAGGGTTCACTTTGATTTACAATGCTAGGCAAAGATTCCTATTGTAAGGAGCAACTTACACATTCGACAGGTACTGACCGACAAAAACTAGGGGAACATTGATGCAAACAAAACCCAAGCACGCATACATGCGCGAATAATATCAAGGAGTGTAACTTTGGAGAGAAAGAAATATTATACGAAGAGCACAGGTAAAGTGAGCTTACTTAGGCGTAATTACCGAAGACACATTAACATTTACTCCATGCTTGAGCCAAGGACATCTAAAGCGCGGGTGCTTCCTCGAAATGCTGTGTAGAGCAGCACAGCGCACTTGATATTTCTATGATTTCAGATTCAGTACAGTCTGGGGCAAAATGATTCCTAAGTTTTTAAGTTTCATTTTCTCCCCCTAGATCACAATATAATGAAAATATTTTAACATTCACTAGACTCAAAAAATTAAGGCCCCCGAGCATTGGAAGTTACAACTGCACACAGTAGACGAACTCTGGCCAGCAAGGCTGGTAGAAAATAGAACGAACGTAAAGGAGTTTAGAGAGAGGAAAGAAATATTCTAGACAAATTGGCAATAATAAAAATATAAAACTGCGATTCCAAGAATTAAAATAATTCACGAATAAGAGAAAGAGACACACAGTAACATTAAACAGGTGTGATGAAGCTTAGTGAAACTCTTAAACCTTTGAGGACGTGACGAGAACATTTTTCAGAATTAGAACTAATCGGTTTATTAAAAATCTTGAAAGAGTTTATTTCAAAACAGTACTTTCAAGTACTTACACTAATTTTGAACTTCACAAAGGAAGAAATATGAAATAAATTACAATAATTTAACTTATTTTAAAACCTTGAAAATTAATCTAGGAGGAGTTAGACAGTAACAGCTGTTGATATACAAAATTGCTCTGCGAAGTTAAATAAGATTAATGGGTGACTATGATGGTAAAAAGAGAGACACAACTCAGAGAAACATGAAAAAAAAGAAGAAATTTTAAAAAAATTGAAAATAAAAATAAATAAATAATTAAATAAAAAAATCAGAATCAACTGCAATACAAAAATAAATAAATAATTGAAAAAAGGGAAAGAGAAAAAAAAAAGTTAATCAATGATGACAGAGGCTTTTGAAAACATTAGGGGTCGGATGCATTAAAATGTCTCCCGAAGATGTTTCCCCCGTGATTTTCCACTTAAAGCTGTTCTTTATACAAAAATTTACATTAAAAATAATTTTAAAAGATTCTGCACACAGTGATGACTAAGAATAACACTTAAAAGTAGAGTCAGTTTGCACCACTAGACGATTTGGTTTTAAGTCTACAGCTGAATGCGACATGTAACGAGCCTTATCTTGTATCAGTATGTGGTAGAAAGTTTGTTGGTTTAATAGGCAGAAATGCAAAATTTATTCTTGAGTTTTCATTTATATAATAGTAAATACATAAATATAATACACTTCACTTTGATGTCATCATTGTCACAAACTCTGAAACAGAAAAAAAAGCCCGGAGAGATTAATTTTGTGGAACAGGAAAAGGAGACAAATATAATTAATAACCCTAAAATACCTTATTCCGTGACTTTTTAAACTTCAGAGGTGCAACAGAATTTTCATAAAATTTAATCCTGAGCCAGACATTGAGATCAGTTCCAAAAAAAAAATGTTGAAAATGATAGCTCTTGATCTTTCATCTTCGACCACCTCGCTACACTACACTACCTCGCCTACACTACAAACTTGCTACGCTCACTTTCAAAAAGTTCTCGAAACTATGTACAAACTTCGTTTTCACATCGGTACCATCAATTTATGAATAAATGTTTCCACTTTCAGGATTCCTATGTTCTTTCTGAACTCTCTTGGTGCTCGAATAGACATGAGAGATTAAGAAACCAGCATTAAACCATTTAGGCAACCAAACACCTTCATTTTCCCACATCATTACTGAGAAGGAAAAAAAAAAACCTGCTACAATGGATCAAATCCACGCAGAAATGTATTTGATGCTGATTTCAGCAGCATAACAGGACGTACATACAAATACTGTTAAAAGGACCGAAAAAAGATTCTTCTACCCAAACTCACATATTATTTAACAGTGAATAATAATAATGGAACGAAAAATTGGTCTTCCAAAATACAATTCTTCCAATATTTTCTGGAAACACCCAAGACTGTAGGAAGTAGCCTTCCTTAAAAAACTACATAAACAGCAATAAGATGCTTACCTTCATAATTTACTTGACCATCACCATCTATATCTGCTTCTCGGATCATTTCATCTACTTCTTCATCTGTTAGTTTTTCACCAAGATTGGTCATTACATGCCTTAATTCAGCTGCACTAATAAAACCATTACCATCCTTGTCAAAAACACGGAAGGCTTCTCTAATTTCTTCTTCGCTATCTGTGTCTTTCATTTTCCTAGCCATCATTGTGAGGAATTCTGGAAAGTCGATGGTTCCATTACCTGCGCAGAAAATCAAACAAGGATGAGAATTTATGTGGTCAGCTCCATAACTAGTAGAGTCAAGGGTTCTCCTCTGTACCCTCCTGCTGATGAGAAAAACTTAAACACTACAAAATATCAAGTTACCTAAGGCTTGCAAAAGTCCTCAGGGCAAAGATGACTTACCTAGATCACACAATATGTTAAAGTGCGCAGAAAAGAATGAAAAACAAAAGTTCAAAAAGTATAAGCAAGAAAATTAGTTAACATTCGAAGAGGGGAAGAGAAGAATCATGTTTAATGGATCAAGCTTTTAAAAATATTTAGTAGGGTGCAAAAAGTTCTAAAACGTAGACCATCTCATACAATCTAGCAATTGTGTAATCAAGTTAAATTTTCAGTTTGCCGGACTTTACCAAAAATATAATGAGAAAAAATGTCATAGCTTTCGAGAATCATCTCACAACCCATGATGAGTATCAATCCAGGTCGCGAGATCAATGCAATGAATGATCCGAAAATCGATAATTAAGTGCATATCGGATACAACACATTCTTCAGCTTACCCTATAGGCATATAATAACACTCTGCTATGATAAGGAGTTGATCATTCAAAAGACTTACCATCAGCATCTACTTCATTAATCATATCCTGAAGTTCAGCTTCTGTGGGGTTTTGTCCCAGCGACCTCATGACTGTCCCCAGTTCTTTTGTCGTGATTGTTCCATCTCCATCTTTGTCGAATAATGAGAACGCCTCTTTGAATTCAGCGATCTGCTCTTCCGTCAGCTGATCAGCCTATTAATGAGAAAAACACTCATAATTAGAATAGTGAAAATTAAGCAAAATATTAAGTATTGAATAATAATATAAGTGTGTACAATATCTTTGGGGTTCTTCGGACCACCAAGGATTTCATGGCACAGTGGAAAGTGTGTTTCAAATATTATAAATTCCCTTGCAACAACCAATTCTCTAAAATTGGAACCAAGAGATTTACTATCTGCTACAAGAGTTTGTCTGAACCCAAATATGAGTGTAAAATCATAAATCTGAAGAATGAAGATGCATGAAACCCGAACACCTTCTTTGTTGTGGTCATGTTCGAAGAGAATGGAGGAAAAATTGTAAAGTTTCTCCAGATGGAAGATACAGGGGATGCCTAGCTGAAAATTGGCTGTGTCGAGCTGAAAGGAAATGAGGAGAAGAATTCTTATGAAGATTCGCCATTTCGCAGAAGCAGTTACCATGAAATAAATGATCTTTTGTAATTAGAGACTGATTGTAGGCAAGACCTATCCACACAGGTCAGTCATTGCGCATCTTTTTGAGATCCACTCCCCTGCCCGGTCCTAACTCGGCGGCACTCAATGCTACATCACAATGGGTGCTCCCATAAGAAATACATTGCAGGCACTCAATGCTACGTCACTGCGCAGTAGAGTTCCAAATCTCGTCCTCGGGAATGACTGACCTGTGTAGATTGGTCTTCATTGTAGGAGAGAAACAGACAAGATACAGATTGAGCAAGGTTTCTCACATATTCAATAAGACCCACGGGAAAATGTTACAGTTAGAGTCTCTGCGTCAGGAATCGCTTGTTTCTTTTCATTTATGTACTACTCTAAAAATGTATGAGTATGAGCATACAGCAACGACGTTGGCAGATAGAAGTAGATAGGCCTGCATCGAGTATGAATTTAAGATCACAGACACAGTTGTTCTGTTCTATTTTACAACCGAGACTAGGTATGTCAACAAAAATTTCAAGTGCGCACAACTTTCCAAGATTTGGAAGGTCAAGGTTTAAGATGATCAGAAATGGAGTAGCCTTAAACTGTTAGGTGGGGAGCGTCAATTCATAGTGGAGTGGATGCATGTTCTCTGAAGTGACTAGTTTTGCGATGGAATTTACACAAGGAAAGGAATATGTTTACTTTTCTTTGAGATGTTGCTTTTTCTCTCGCACTGAAAATATCTGGCAGTAGAATTTATTCAGTAAACATCCTTCGGGGTGTTTGTGTTTACTCAAAAAATATTCCAGATCAAAACAGCTTGATTAGGAATTTTGAGAGGACTGTTTGATATTCCACAACTTTCGATTGTCTTCCTCACACTCATGGCTTTTCATCTTCTTCAGAAATCCAAATCAATCCAATTCAAGCAAAGAACAGATATTTTCAAATCAACTATTTAATTTTTCGAAAGATTCTAAGTAAAAAACAATGATCCCATTGGTTCACTCTAAATACTCTTCTTTCAGACTGCTGGCTAAGGTATTTCAGATTTAATGATATTCATCTTAAAACTAGTATAACACACGGTATTTTTGAAGAGCCCTACTTAGATAGATACAAAATGGGACTTTGGGAGGCAACATTTCACACATAACTTGGTCACAAAATCTTTCGGTCCAGATACAGCAATCAAGATTTCATAGGAATTTTCAAAGTGAGATAAACTCCTCTTGAAACATTACATATATGAACTTCTCATTTTATGCTCAATACTCAATACTCTGAAACCACTTGACTTCTCATGATAAAACTTAGCGACTTCTTTTGAAATTAATCAATATTTAGTTTCAACATTCGGGAAAAAAGAGCTACTTATTATTTAAGGTGCATTGTCAAAGAGAACTTGTCCAATTCTGTTGGGTTCTTCTGTTTGCAAACGCAACCCAATGGTCCCATCGACTTCATGAGATCATTAAGTGTTTGTCAGAAATGTTAGACTTTCATATGTAGACACACACGTCATCAGGTAGTTCTGTTTATAAACGGTTGTGCGGTTTACTTTGACTACGCAGCTGCACTTGATTTTTGGTGGACAAGGAGGTTAAAGAGAGCTTAGTTCATGTTTAAAAAAACCATTGAAAAGTTACTTGTTATCCTGAACCATTTTAGTGGACAGAGAAAACCCCATTTTTTTTTTTCTTGGATTAGACTAGAAAAAAAAAAGAAAAAAAAACCAACAATCAACAGAATTCAAGAGGTCCAGGTTCAAAACTCCATTAAAAAAATGTGAGGTGCCTTTTCACATGAGCTATGCAGCACAGATTATTCAAAATTAGAAGCATTTAGGACAGTTCTAACTCAATTTTAGAGAGACTGATTCGTTGATATTGTGTATCTGATTTACTAAATTTTTTCAACTTAAAACTGTTTAGTTCATGGAAATTCTAAAACTCCACTAGGTAAATAAAAAACAATGACTTAAATTAGATGATGCGAACTGTGAGTTCTTGTTAACAGGCAGACTTGGGTCAAATCGCTTTGTTCTAAATTATGTCAGCAATAATTTGAAAGTTTTAACTGTGGAGTGGTGCTAATTTAGAACAAATTAGGAGATTAACAATTATCTCAACGTACTATAAGTCTACTCCGGATGAGACTTGGTTAGCAGTTAATGATCGAAGAGGTATGCATTTCCAGCTGTGAATTATCTCTAATTGCTCACTCCAAATCAATCTTGCACCAACTGATTGTTAGGCTAGTAACGAGCTTTGAAGAGGGCAAAGAACTTCGCATTTCATTTCCTCTGTCATATTGAATTCATATCTCTTACCCCTCAACAAACTTCATGTCAAATATTCGTCAAGTATCAAAGACTAGCCTTTCAGAGTAAATCTATATGGATTGACTAACAAGTTAAAAGTTTGTCGGAAAAAACAAAAACGACATTAAGCCTCACGCAACTTTGAAGAGATGATCTCAAAAAAACAGGCACTACTACAGACAACGATGATTCACAGAATGATATCGTAACTGACCCAAATGATTAAAGGTAAAAGTCTATCAGGTTCAGCCAGGAGGGAAAAACATGAAAGTTACTCAACAAGAGAAAAAAGAATTTGATCTTCAAATGGTAATTAGAAGAAGATTCAGCTTCAAATCGGAAGTAGTTAGAAAAATCATCTCCAGACTTCAGTAACGGAGACTGAGCGATCAAGTGAAACTTGGCGTTAAAGATGGGTCCTCATTACACTAGACACTGAAATATTAGTATAACATGCATGTTAAATCTATATAACATGCATGCAAAGTCTATTGAGTAATTCGTAAGAGGGAGTTGATGACTAAAAAGTGAACATCCATTTAAGTAAGGTTTCTACTTGGAGGAAACCTCGCGTCTCATTATTGATTAGATATTCATGAATAACATGGCTGAGCAGTGGCTGCTGAGCCACTCCGGAAGGTCCAAAACCTGAAAGGTGAAATATTGTTGGCTTGGAGGCGAAATAAGGGAGTAAAATTCGAAGGAACGATGATTGCATGACTAAACTACAGCATTTCTGGATGAAGTTGCGTGAATGTGGACGTGTATTAGTTGGCGTGGTGGTTGCTCCTGGTGGCCTATTTTCGGTAATTCAAAACAAGCGAGAAACGAAAATTACCATTGTAGAGAATAGCAGAGGGTGGATCACAAGGGGTGGAAAAGCGGAGCTAACGCGATATTTTCACTGCTTTGGAGAAGTTTGAGGAGAGACGAAATCCCGTAACAGGAGGTTAAGGATATGTGACCTTAGCACCTCCTCCGCAGAAGGCGATTCGGCAGAACCACGCGAAAAACACAAGAGATGAGGAGAGTAATACTACACGATTCCCAGTTTATACTCGACAGGCACGGAGAAAGACGAAAGGAACGGCACGGTGATTTGGTGTCATGAATTGGCGTTGAATTTTAAGGTGGGCACGGGGGAAAATCAATAGCACAGAGGCACCGTAGCGATAAAAATTGGCTCTTCCGTTAACCTAGAAAACAACTGCATCAAAATCGATAAGAGAGGCGCCAGCCAACGGGCGGAGAGAGGAAACTCACCATTTGTACAATTTGATGATTTTGAACTAGGAAATAAAACCAACAGTTAGTGAAAACACCGGATACGCAAACGTATCACCGCTTTTTCGATTTCACAACTCAGCAGACGCGCAATACACCGGGAAAATAGACGGACCGAAATTCCCAGATACTAAACCAAACTGGCGGAATCACGGTAACGAATTTTAGAGGTGACGTCACGATTATGTATACATCCGCAAACTAATTATTTGAATACATTTCGAATTACTGACGCAGACACTCGAGAGCTGATTAGAAAAGCTCGATTAGAACGTAAAGTCCAACCCGAGAGATAAACAATGATAAAGTTTCATGTTCGACACACCACGCCGACATCGCTTTTCGAGGAGGATTACATTCCGCTGCGCAAGCAACGGAGTTATATACGTTCTGGGTGCGGTCTCATAGACAGACTTCACTTCTGTATTCCGACTAAGCTTGTCGCTGATTGGTCAATACACACCTGCAATGCGTCAAGTTGTACTTAGTACCGTTTCGTTCTTCAGCTTTTCCAGCATTACGGACACGTACGGGGAGAGACAGTTAAGATGTCATAACTGTATTTAAAGGGTTCCACAGTTGTTCTTTATCGAGTCTCCGTTATCCTTAAAAATAATTTTAGAGCCAACCTAAAATTTTAGGGATGTGAATTTTTATCAAAGCACGAGGCGCGTACAGCTGCTGGGGCAGTTTCCTCTACTTTTCGCGCTTCTTTCCGAATTCTATTCGTCGTCAATACTACGTACTGAGCGTTTTCGAATAGCCGCCCCCCCCCCCCCCCCCNTGCGCCCTCGAGCGCAATAGGTATGGGTTTTTAGCGCCTTGAATCCCTGTTGAGATGAGGGGGTAACAGTTATTGACAGGGTTTTTTTTTTTATAGCCTTCACGTCAATAGAGGTACCGTCAAATAGGGTTATTTGGGAAATTGTTTACATTTATTTTTGATAAGAGCTATCCAAATCTTCTCAAGATTCAAAAGGGTGTGCATTTCGAAAACCTCTTACCCTAGCGTATTAAAAATGCAGCAGTATTTTGTACTACTCCTTATTTTTGAGTGGTAAAAAATGTTTCGAATGCGTTTCTCAAATCACCCTTGCATGTTGGGGTAATTTGGGAAGTATGAAAACCATATGGACACCAAATGACTCCATGTCAGGTACATTTTCTCATAAAAATTGGTCAAAAATGGGAAATCATTGGAAACAATGGTGGAAGTTTGTAATGAGCACTAAACTATTAATTCTTCGGAATATATTGAATGTGATGACCATTAATACGACTGATTGGATCCATTGGACCAGTGAGAACCATTTCTCAAATAGCCCCAAAAAGTACCTATTCTCATTTCTCAAGGCACCCCCACATGGAAAAATTGGCAAACCTGTTAATAAATTTTAGGAGTGGCATCTAAAATTTTTCAAGGGCCAAAATTATTTTTCGCGTATTATCACGGCGCATGAAACTGGGTCTCCTTGAGAAGTTCTAAAACTCTATACCTTGCTTCCACGGTACGTACCATGGGATTTATCCCAAGCTCGAATCGCAGGAATGAAACTTCAGGGATTTTTCCCCGTATAACAAAACAACTAAGTTTCTTCTTTTCTCCGAGTCGGTCTTTGGACTCCTCAAGGCCTCTACTTGGCACTGTATATTAGTGTTGACTAAATCAATATTTTTCCCTGGGACAAATCCCATGAACGTCCCGTGGAGATAGGGGCTGAAAAGGGGCGCAAAGTTTGGTGATCACTTTCCTGCCTAAGTATCACAAGCGCCATGCGACGTTTAAAAATTTCTGCCGCCATTATATTTTTTTACAGAGAAATTGTTGGTTGAATCTGTTTGAAAATTTCACTGGATTTTGTCGGTAGCACAAAAAAAGTCAGTGAAATTTTCCGACAGTTTCGTTGAGCACTTTCTCTGTAAAAAAATTAAAAGACGGCAGTAATTTTTGAACGTCGCATGGCGCTTGTGATCTTTGGCCGGGGGGTGACGATATCCCGAGCTCTTGTCGTGGTCGGACTAGTGTGCGATAGATCGTATCAAAAAAGTAAATAAATCTCAACACATTTTGACTTCAGTTCTTAATGGCCCCTGCGTGAGAGCCTTAAAAAGCGTACACAATCCCCCAAAAATCGAAGTTCAGAGTAATGAAAACAGGATTCCTTTTGGGATAAAACGTCTTATTCAATACAATGATCGACCTTTGTATCGAATGCAATATTTTTCTCTGGGAAGAATAGGTACTGCTCTAATTTCTCGAAATTTTGTGATTGTTTTTTGGTCGATAATGTTTCATTCTGCGCAAGCGCAGGGCTTACGTCCTTGTTTTGTTAAAACATCAGCCAAACGACTTAACTGATGCGATATATCGCACCACCAGCTCAACCACGCCAAGCATTGCTGCCAGATAGTGTTGAAAATGATCACAAATAACATCTCAAGACCGTAAAATATCCACATTCTGGCAACCTTGACGCCGAGAACCCGGTCAGGATCGTTACTTCAAGAATGCGCAGCGGGTTGCGTCCGACTTTTGAAGGCGCCACTTAGTATCAGCGCCCGAGCATCATTTTTGGCCACATTTTACGCATGTTTCATCAAGTTTAAACTGAACGCCCTCTTCCTACGCCTAAGGGCACTCGACAACTATTGAATGACCTTGAAATGTAACGAGAAGTGTCCAAAATACCTCATAAATTAACTTTACTAAAAATGATATTTCTGAATTCACTCGACAGGAAGCTTACTTGGATAGCGCTTCGGGAGCGTTCGCGTTCACCAACGCACTTTTCCGACTCCACCACCCCCTTATAACGCTTCGGACCTAGCCCC